GGTAGTGATGCCTGTCATTTCACTAGGAGGCTGTTGTCCCGTTACATTAAGGCTCATGGCTCGAGCAGTAAGCTGGGCTTTAGAAATAAGGAAGTGGTAGAAATGGCCCATGTGTCAGGTTGAATCATACATGGGGAAAAAAAAAAAAGTGGTGGTTGGGTTACAGATGTGTGAAAGGGGTGCAAAGGCCTCCATGATTCCAGCCATCGCTCTGTCTTGACATTGTTTAAATAATGTCAAAAAAAAAAAAAAAACAACAAACTTTTCTTTCTCAGGTTATCGGAACGTAGATTTTTTTTTTCCTGCTTGTGTAACTGAAATTGCAGCACTGACTTGCTCTGTAGCTTTTGTAACCACCAGGACTGTCAGTGGGAGTTGAATGACCGGCACTTTGCTCTCCTTAGCACGCGTTCTTATTTAATTTTATTTTTATTTTTGAATATAATAATATTATACAATAACTTAATTATTTTTTATGCAATATTTAAAGCCTGTCACTGTGCTTCCTGCCACAGCTAAAGAGACAGGCTCCTCCAGGGATATCAATTTCTGGAAGCATGATATTAAAGTCCAACAAAAAGTTCGTGTCAAAGCTGGTGATTTCTGTAATGCATTGTTAAAGGCGCAAATCATTTTGGACTATAAAACGTCCTGTGAGTGTTTATATATTTTGTCAGCACCTTTTGGGGATTGATGATGGTATTAGTTCAGCTCCTTTGGGAGAGAAAAAGGGATACCACACACTCAAAGCCTGCCAGCAGGAAATCTGTGGGAGAGCCGAAAGTTAGGAAATGGATTTTGAGTTCTTCGCTTTAACCGCAGTGGTCATCCTTCTCATCCATAGGCTAAGAGCTTCAGAAGGTTTGAGAATTTGTATGTGCACAGGATGGAAAGAAGGGATTACAGGCAGGAAAAATACCTCTGGAATTTATTATGCTTTAACCACAGGATGTGGTTGTTAAAATAATGTCTTGGGTTTTTGGCATTATTTGGATTTCATTCCTGCTCTTGAACTGTACTGAACAAATTCAGTGAAAGTTAAAAGTAATCAGAATTTTGAAACGTGGGGAAATGGCTGTGACACTAATTAAAAGGGTGATTTATGCTCCCACTGGAGCTCTCTGATCTACCAGATAAGATCTTGCCAGTGAACTATCAAGCCTGGGTTGTATTCCCAGATTTGCTACTGAGGTGCTTCATGGCATTTAGTTAAGCGCTTTTCCAGTGCATAACTGCTTGCTTTCCTCTTGCGTTTCTACTTCAAATGTGAAGTCTCTGAATCATGGATTATCTTTTAGGAAACTAGTGTTTGGTCAGAGCTTAGGGCTACTTCTTAATTCCATTTTTAGTCAGAATATTCTTGGTGTATAGTGCTGGGGAAAAAACAAACAAACAAACAAAAAAAAACCACCAAAACACCTTTTCGTCTCCCAACAATAAAAGTTAACCCTGTAATTCTACGGAATTTAGTTATATAGTTTGATTACATTTCCATTAAAAGATATATCCTTTTCTCAGATTGTTTCTAGATTGCCATTTTTGAATTTGTCACTTTCTGCTTTTTATCTCATGCCGTTTTATCTCATTATGGGTGAGTAGTTGAAGTCCACAGTTGCATTATTGGGGTACTGTATCTTCTGCCTCCTTTAGTTGGTCCTGTACAGTTTCAACTCCATAGCATTCTTCACTCAGGTTAGTTCTGGTGCACGTCTGTATCGTGTCTCAGCCAATGAATTCCTGCTAATACCAGCCCTGCCAGGGCACTAGCATAAAACAAACCATAGTACGACCTTGCTGAGAGAAAGAGAGCTGTAGTGAGACCCCCCTGGGTTTTGGCAAAGAGCTTCCAGTGGTGCTGGAGAGCTGCAGCTGCAGGGGTGGGAACTGCGTATTTGATGCAGCCTGTGGTAATGGTGTTTCTGCTCTTGCTTTTGCTCATGAAAATAATTGCAATTTTAAATTTGAAATAGTTTAAATATGAACTACTGTTTGCTAAATTCTTAATTACGTGCTTGTATCAGATGGAAAAACAATAGTCACTGAAACGCAAAACCACTCCAGTATAGCCTTCAGACTTGTTGCAGCAAGAAAGATTGTACCAGCAAATCCTGGAGACCTTCCTAGCTGTGCTTCTGAGACAGTCTCTGTGTGGGTCTTTTTACTTCAAACTTTGTGCGCTCAGGAAATAGTTCCTGTGTTAATTAAATATTACTTCCAAGAGACCAGAAACCAGTCTTTGTGTAGAAGTCCTGTTTTCTAGGTGTTTCCCCAGGGGGATCAGTTTCAAGATGTTGGTAGCCAAGGAGTTCGGGTGTAACAAAGGTAAAATGAAGAAGAGAATGAAGAATGCTCAGCTGGTTGTAACAAGTACAGTCAGGCTGCTCTGTTGTGTTATCGTTTAATAATCTTAAAATTCCTTTTATGGCAGAAATTGATACAATTTTGACATTTCTTGTGGTTTTCAAAGTAATTCTACAGATAGCATAGGAGAGGAAGCAGTCCTAGCTTTGTCTGAGACAGTTTCAATCTGACTTTTGCGTCTAAGCGTTTATATTGTTTCTCCAGTAAACTGTCTTACAAGTTCCTGAATAATGTAAACTTTAAGTTAAACATCAGTTCAATTTATGTTTCTTTGGAAATTTAGGATAACATGGAAGTGATTTTAAGGAAATCTGTAAATATTAGCCAGGCAGTAAAGGAAACATCTTAGTCTTTGTAATAATTTTGGTATGCTTTATATGCAGTTTTGTTGTTGTTTTTAAATTTTAAAAAGATGATAATATGAAATGCGTTTTAAGCATTTCTGAAGTATTTTGGAGAATAGTGAAATCTGAATTTCCTTGGGTTAGTTGATATGTTGGTGAACAAATGTCCTGAATAAAACAGGGAAGAATCAAACAGTTTTGGAAGTCTGTGCTCTAAACAGGTGTTACATTTGGGTGAAATATGCGAAGTCTGGGAATTTGTAATACAAAAATGATCCATCCCTCTGTTTGGAGTTTCTGTTAGGTCACATTTGTTATTTCTTGAAGCTAATGAACTCTCAGTAAAATTAACTGAGAGCTATTCTCATGTCTTTTTCTTCTTCATGTTTTAAGTCTCCAAACCTAAAGCAAGGGAAAAATTTTGAAGGAAAAAAAAAAAGTAATAGTGTGTTACTAAGGACTGAACAGAAGACTTTTTTTTTTTTTTTTTTAATGTTGCAGCTTGGCTGTAGGTTTTTACAACTTTTAATAGTTTTAGCTTGATAAAGATTGAACACACATTAAAAATAAAAAACAACAACAACGAAAAACAGCAAAAAGTGTGCGCGCGCACACAAAAAGATAAAACAGATTTGTGCTGCAGGTGCATTGATCCACCAGCTCAATGCCACATAAATAACAAATTGGTAAGTGTGAAAAGCACCTGCAGTCAGAGCAGCAAGGCGCAGTGCTCGCAGTGTAGCTGGTAAATGTTCGGCAGGCAGAATGAGCAGGGCCTGCAAACAGTTGCTAGGGTAATAGGGCCTGTGGTTAGCACTGAATGCAGGCAGCTTTCTCTGTCTTGTAGATCAAAAAATGGCTCAAAGTACTGCGCTTCGCTTCCTGAAACATGCTGCTTATCAGGAGGCTGCTCTCTGTGCCTCTGATGAGCTTTGGGTAAGCATACAGAGAGAACCATCTTTTTTGCTCCCTGTAGGTGCTGAAGCAAAGTACTTCTCTCATTTCTGCCTTTGTTTTCAGTGCTGGTGCATGATGTGAAGTGTACTGTCCTTAGGGCCTGCTCCTGACACCCCTTCTGGCTGGGCAGCTTGATCCCTCTGCTCATAAAGTTTATCTTGCACGTAACTGCTTATCAGAGGCTCTGGTGAAATTTGTATTTTCAGACAGTTTGTTTATTATTATTATTATTTATTTATTTTTTTAAAAAAGGAAGAAATTTGGTGAAGTTTTGGGTATCGAGCATAATCCTTACTGTAACCTCTAAGAGCTATCATGATACAAGTACAAATAACAGCAGTTAAGCCCTTTCACAAACTCTGAAAAACATAACACTTTAGCAACCTGTGTAAAATCTCTGAAGTGTTCTTTCTGGATAACTGAAAAATAAATGAATAAATCATAGCATATGTTTCTAAAAACCGTTATGAAATTTCTGGGACACCCTGGCTGTTTGGGCATTCTCCTCACTTTCCTACGTGAGTACCAGTGCGCAGCTGCTGGTATTGCTCTCTGGACTGCACTGACCCATTTCAAAGCAGCTCGAGACATCTGTCTGCTGAATACCAGGGAGCCATCCTTGCTGGAGAAGTATTAAGATGAAAGTAAAGAGGAAACCTGTTTGGGCATTCCAGATCGAACATGTACCTCTAATAAGATGTACAGAGGTTATAGTCTCATTTTTATCTCCGTTTACACACATGCACGCAGCAGATTTATATCTGCCTTTTCAGATCAGCTCTGCGAGATGTGGTCTTGTTTTCTTCCTTTCGCTTTTATCTCTAAGGCTGCAGGAAGGCTTTGTCAGGATCTTGACCTTTTTCTTAAGAATTGTCTCCAGTCTCCACCTGACTTCTATAAATACTGATGCCTGTGAACTTGGCTAAGTGGATCCAAGCAACTTCTATCCAAAAAGTAGCAAGATTTGATCACAGCTTGTCCCAGTGCTTAAGGATGAACTGGGCATTTAACCCCTTGTGACAGAAATGTTTTCGTAGCTTTGCTGCTGAGTGGGATTGCATATAGACATGCAGAGTGCACGCTTGTGTGTGTGTTCTTGGTGACAAAGGTATTTTAGATAAGTATACAAATATGCATAAATGTATATTTTGTTTTTAAAAAGCAGTGCATTGTCATTGTCAGAGTATAGTAAACTAAGTTTTTCTTCTATTGATTTTCCTGGCAAAAGACAGAGGTTGAGCAGTCTTTTTTTCTTCCTTGAGCTACAAGGGGAAGAAGTAGAAACATCGTTAATGCCTACGGTGGTCCATGGAATAAGGAGTCCTCATCTTGTTGCAGGTTGGTGTGAGTACCTCAAAGATTTGGTGTCAAGAATCATACATGCCTGGGCTGTACTGACTCTGCTGCACAAATTTCAAAATGATCAAGCAGACCACAATGGAGTGAAGAAATGCTACTTTTGCTGATGAATTCTGTGGCCTGTAATGGTAAGCAAACAAGTTGGTTTTTTTTTAATCAGGATTCTAAGTAAAATTTAGGACCATAAAACCCCAGAGTAACCTGTCATGCACAGCTCAGCCTTACAGTCTAGGTAAAAAGTACCTTCTCAGTGGCTTCGCCCTGCTCTGGGGATTGGTTAGATGTTGATCAGCATGATAATCTTTCATGTGATAGTGGCTGCGTACTTTGCTATTTGGAAAGTTTTTCTGTGGACTCTGTTACTCCAGGGAAGTAACTTCAGAGTTTTTTAGACAAGTAACATTTACCATATCCTCAAGTTTTGCTGTGGCTATCAAATTATTTCATGTTTTTGATATTAACTATTTCTGTTTTATAATACTAGTTAACTGAATTTAGTATCGCTGAATCCAAAGGGTAAAGCTGCTCAAGGGTAATTTAATTTAAGTGCCTGCTTCACTTCAGCTGTTGCCTCCTGAGACACCAATATTTCCCATAGTGACTCAGTGCTTCACATGATGCAGGTTTCCAGTAGCTTGTTAGTGTAGAGAACAGTTGGGTTGGCTGCCAAGCAAAGCTTTGAAAATGAAAGATACAGGATAAGATAAAATGAGAATGATAGTGATTACAGATTTGTGTTCAGCAGTTGCATTATCTTGGTAGACAATCAAAACTTACAGTGTAAAAAATTCCCATGGGTTATGTGGTTGCCTATGGAGCAGTACAACACAGAGAGCTTTGTACTGTTTCTGTACACCTCTCTTCTTTCAATTATCCTAGAGACCACACCCAGGTACTTGTGAACACTTGGTTCACATAGCCTGTAGTGTGGGTCAGTGATAAATGTGTGAAACCCATAACAATTTTGCAGCTTCTGGTGCTATCAAGTATGACTGAAAATATAAGACTTCAGAGCTTTTATCCCATTGGTGGTGTTTTATTTCAGTGAGCTCATAAGTGACCTTTCCTAAACCCCACGTTGCTTTTTTGAAACCTTTCTTAACCAATCTGTTCTTTTTTGGTGTCTGTTGTGAGCTGAGGTAGGGTATAACAGCAGAAGCAAAACTTCCTGCCAGAAGTGTAGGTATGTCTCCTTAGTGGTACTTCAGTGCTTAACCTCCAAGGGAGGGAACTTCCTTATTTCAAGTGTTAGTTTTAGTTTTGGTTTTGGCTGTAAAGCGTGCGTGTGGTGGTGTAATAAATACTGCATGGCTGATATTAGAAGAAGTCTGGGGAACGTTAAAATGCCCTTATATAATAAATAGTACACAGAAATAAGATTTTAAAGACATGTACTGTATAGAATTTACTGGTGAAGTGCTGGTCACTAAATAAAGGGGAATTGGATTTAATATGTCCCTTTTTCAGAAATGGTAGGAAGGCTTTCTTTATGAAACTTTAAGGGCATGTTATACTTCAAAAATATTTGTACTGCAATAGCACCCCACAGTACATTGTTGCTGGTGCTGATGTACAGTCATGTTGGTTCTGTTGTCCATCTGTCATCAGCATTGGGCTGAGGTTTGTTTCCAACATGAAATTGTCTGCAGATCTGATATTCTTCAAGTTAGTGCTCTTCCTGAAGCAGATACAGGTGAATAAGTAGAAATCCAGACAGAAAAAATGTTTTTTACCTTTGGCTTAAACACAAGCAACGTTGTTCTAGTATTATGGCTTACTCTTGTATTTTGGTTATGATGCTTGGTAAAAGCATTTAAAAATGATTGGTTCTATAATAGCTATTGATAACAGAGTACAGTATGAAGGCAGTGCTGATTGGTACTGTCTCCCATGACATCTTGCTAGCAAAGCTGAGAAAGCGTGGGATAGAGGAGTGGACAGTAAGGTGGGTTGAGAACTGGCTGACTGGCCGAGCTCACAGGGTGGTGATCGGAGGAGCAGAGTCTGGCTGGAGGCCTGTGACTGGGGGTGTTCCCCAGGGGTCGGTGCTGGGTCCGGTCTTGTTCAACATCTTCATCGATGACCTTGATGAGGGAATAGTGTCTGCCCTCAGCAAGTACGCCAATGACACAAAGCTGGGAGGAGTGGCTGACACGCCAGAAGGCTGTGCTGCCATTCAGCGAGACCTGGACAGGCTGGAGAGATGGGCAGGAAGAAACCAAATGAGGTTTAACAAGAGCAAGTGTAGAGTCCTGCACCTGGGAAGGAACAACCCGAAGTATCAGTACAGGCTGGGGGGTGACCTGCTGGAGAGGAGCTCTGAGGAGAAGGACCTGGGGGTCCTGGTAGATGACAGGTTGACCACGAGCCATCAGCGTGCCCTGGTGGCCAAGAGGGCCAATGGGATCCTGGCGTGCGTTAAAAGGAGCGTGGCCAAGGGGGTCATCCTTCCCCTCTACTCTGCCCTGCTCAGGCCTCACCTGGAGTACTGTGTCCAGTTCTGGGCTCACCAGTACAAAAAAGACAGGGATCTCATGGAAAGAGCCCAGCAGAGGGCCACAAAGATGATGCAGGGCCTGGAGCATCTTCCTTATGAAGAAAGACTGAGAGACCTGTGTCTGTTCAGCCTGGAGAAAAAAAGACTGAGAGGGGATCTCATCAATGTGTATAAATACCTGAGTTGTGGGAGACAGAGGGATTTGGCCAACCTCTTTTCAGTGGCTTGTGGGGACGGAACAAGGGGTAATGGCCACAAGGTTGAACACAGGAAGTTCCGCACCAACACATGGAAGAACCTCTTCATGGTGAGTTTGACGGAGCACTGGGACAGGCTGCCCAGGGAGGTTGTGGAGTCTTCTTCTCTGGAGATATTCAAGGCCCATCTGGATGCCTACCTGGGCAGCCTGCTCTAAGGAACCTGCTTTGGTAAGGGGGTTGGACCCGATGATCTCTTGAAGTCCCTTCCAACCCCTTCAATTCTGTGGTTCCGTGATTCTGTGATCTATGCTTTGAGCAACCTTATGGGGTCAGTTACCTACTACTCAGTGACATATTTTCAGCGTGAACGTCTGTGTTAGTTCTTCCAAAAACTCAGAGAGACTAAAAACCCAAAGCTATTGGGTTCAGTGCATCAGCTGAGGCTCAGCTGTCTGTATGGGTTTCTCCTCAGGTCAGCAACATGCAAGTATTGTAGAGAGAAGAGAGAGCTGTGTTTATCTCTGAGCCTGCTTCTCTGTTTCACTGTCTTTAGTTGGACTGAACCTAAATCTGAATAGCAAGTGATTTCTTTTCTTATCTGACTTAGGACGGGTTTTATCTTCCTCCCGCCCATAGCATGCCCCTTATCCCTTGCTGTGTTGTGATTGCACCTGTTCTGTGCAAATACACTGTTTACCCTAGAGGTGGGAAACATGCATTTCTCTGGAACTGCAACACTCCCCCTAAATAACTAAATTAGGCGGGGGGAAGGTAAAAGTAATGTGTGATGCACATTGCACTCACTGTGATTTATTGAGCGTCTCCTGGCGTACCTAGCTGTAAGAAGAGACAAGTTACGTCCATGTGTTCTGGCGCTGGCACATCAGCAGACTGTTTCTTGGTTGCTTTAGGGAGAGAGAAAAGTGGAGGCATACATGTATTTAAAATATTGCTATACAAATGAGAGAGATTTAAGTCTGGATGTAATTACGTAATTCTTTTAAGCTGAGGGAGCTTGTCAGCTTTAGCATCCTAAACAATAACATCAGGACAAAAAACTTGTCAGTTTGAACACGCCTTTCTTTAAATGATCCTTTTTCTTAGTACTATTTTCAGTATAGACTGAGTATTACCTGGTGTAATGTATTTTTTCCCATATAAGGAAAATGTTTTGAAAATATCAGGGAGTTCAGTTTCTGTAAAAATCAGGGGTATTCAGTATGAAAAATTAAGTCTCCCTCCTTCCCTCCTCTGTTGGAAACGCTATTTTACCTATAGTCTTCAAGCTAAATATTCACCTATAGTCTTCAAGCTAAATATTCTGTATTTGAGATTTTTTTTTTTGGTAATGTATTTTATGTTGCTCTTTATTACTATAAATAACTGAACAAGTGTTCTGCTTTTGATATAATTGAAATTATACAATGAAAACTTATCCTGACTTCTGAGGACACTGTTCAAAGACGTGACTTTTAAAACAGGTCACATAAAAAAGAAAAACTTACTGTAAGTGGGATATTGACTTTTGTAGTCATAAATTCAATTTTAAACCAGTTAGTCAGAAAATCTATCTGTGAGGTACATCGCAGTGTCTGGGACTCATGAAATAATCACACACCTTGGACTTTGAAAGATGCAAAGCACAGCTGAATTCTCTTCTGGTGTGATAATACTTTTTTTACACCCTGGAGTTTGTTGCTTATGAAAATCAGCATTATAAAGGACTTTTTTTTTCCTGCTGAGATAGAAACTGAAGTTAATTATAAGGCTGGAGAGATTGTTGTTTGAGCTGCCTTATGTTTGCACAATAAACTACCTTGGAACAGCAGTGAACTCTCCCATCTAATTTAGTCACACTGCTCTGGTTATATGGATTCTTTTTCCTCTTTTACTTAGCTTAGTTTACGAGCTAGTTGTAAATTATGAGTCTTTAGTTTCCTGAGTCATCTTCTGTAGTCATTGCTGTGTCCTGCGTGGATCAGTAGCACAGAGATTTCTTTGTGACGGGCTAATGGCTCTCCTTGAAGCCTGTCCTGTAACCATAGTGGTGTTTGCCAGCTCCAGATGCGATGTTATCAGTAAACTTCTTTTTGGGCTGTGGACCCGTGAGAATTGATGAGTCAATTAGCAACTCACTGCTGCCCTTGCTCCCCTACTTGTGGTTTGCCTTTCCTTTCCAAAAGCTGGGCCAGCTCTGGAGCTCATCGGATGCTTCTGCTTGCTGACACGCTCCAGCACCCAGAGAGAGAAGTGACAGGGCAAAACTAGCTTTCTGTTTTCCTTGGTGAGTAGGCTCAGAAGAGGGGCCAGAGGGTGCTGGAGTTGGGTGCCTGGGCAGGCTGGCCAGGAGAGGGGTCCAGGTGGGAGACACCTTCTCCTTCTTGTGCTCGGAGCTGCCTGCTCGGCTCAGATGTGTGTGAAACCATGGCCTCTGCTATTTCTCATCTTCTGTTTCTACCAGTGGCTGGAAAACTATATTCAAATTACTACTACACAAGTCGTTCTGATTTTAAAGGCTATTGTACCACACATGTCATGAGAAGAAGCAATCTATTCAGATAGGAATGTGAATAGAGAATGTTTTAGTTTTTCTTTGCAGAGTATTTAGCACTGTCATCATTATGGCTCTGAGTGCATAGTGATAACCTTTGTTTTATTTCATTGATAACAATTGTTCTGACACGTTGGGGTTTCTTCTGTTTCCTGATTTTTTTTCCAATTGTCAGACTACTTTTTTGTATTGTTTTGGCTTTTGTATGTAAATCGAGCTTTGAGTGATCATGCATTGAAGCTTCATTGCATGAATGCTCACTTTTAATAGGAAAGCAAGGTAAATGTATATCAGATTTTTTCCGTTTTCCAGAAGGAATTTTTGACAAATTAAACATAAATAAGGAAGGTGGAATGACACACAAAGAACTTCAGGGTACAAAAATGGTTTACCTTTGTAAAGAAACTTACTGCACAAGTTAAATTTAGTGCTGATAGCAGATAAGGCATTACAAATGTGTCTGTTCTCCTTTTAATATTTTCATAGGAGCAGAAAAAGCTAAGATGACTGCAGGCTAGCATTTGGAAGCAAACTCCTAAAAGGAAGAAGTGTTGTCTTTAACATGAGTGGTATTTCCTGTGGTGACTGCTACGAAGTATGCAAAATCCAAAAGGATTGCTAACATTCATTTCCTAGACTGAATTAGTTGTGGAGTCCACTAGGCTGTAGATTATTTTTGCCTGAAATTCATAATTCATCTACTAATACTCCTGCAATTATTCAATTTGATGATTACAGATTCCTGATTCCCTTTTAATATCTGCTAATGGGTAATTATGGTCAGCAATCATTCTTGTCATGGAAATTGCTAATGTAATTTCAGAAACACTGTTGTCATTTGTGTGAAACAAAAGATGGAATGAAAATCAAAAGTGCACCTTTTTCTTTGAGGCTGTAGTAGTCAAAAACAGAAAAACTGCTTCTGCTCACTTTTGTGCTTTGGCTATTGAGAAAAATAAGGCAATATATGTCATTTTACTTGATTCTTGCTATTACGGTTTGGTTTTAGCATTTCATGGATGAGACTGCTTTTCAGTAAACAGCTTGAGGTGAGTAAGACTTAGCTGCAAATGAGCAGCTAAGTAGAAAAATAAGTACTTATTATCCAGGCAGTTACTGAGAATGTGTTTGTGAATACATCGATAATTTCAAAATGGAAAACAGAACTGCAGCGTACTTGGATCCTACTTGGAATGGCATCAACTCGGTCAGTGTCTGGTAGGGACAGTACTTGTAAGGAAAGGGGAGAAAGGATGTGATTCCTGCCCATCTGCGTCAGTCCTGAGTGGGAGACTGAGCAGAAGGATATGGATTTGCCAGGTCCACTCCACAGTCTGAAACCTGAGAACAGTTTGTGCTTCATAAATAGGATAAAGGAAGGCCCTACCAAGAGCTTCTTTGTTGTTATCAGCCTGATTTTTTTTGTCAGATAGCACGTCGTTCTGTCGCTCCACCTTGTGCTGCCAGGAAGGAAGAACGCTCTCTGTGCCGCTGTGACGGAGCTTTCTGCTGTGGTCTCAGGGCCTCAGATGTTCTCCCGTGTCTCCCTGCTCACCCTGCCATGGCACTGGTCCTTTAGGACAGATCAGAAGTTACCCGGCCTTCAGCACCCTCTGCATGCTGTTTAGGACATGGCTGGAGATGGAAAATGAGGGAAGTCCTGGCAGTGGTGGGGGCACAGGGGTGCTGTAACCCCATCAGGTGATGTGCCTCTTGTCTGAGTGATGCAAGTTCCCAGATCAGTTTCCCGTTTGATTTTTTTTTTTTTTTTTTCCTATCACGAGTCCAATGCTCTTGTATATTCATTGGGTCAACTTCTTTATCTGACCAAATATTTTTCACGTTAACTGGCATGCGCAGGGCTGGAACTCATCTAGATCTGATTGAGTTTTATTCATTTGTTTGGTAGACATTTTGGTCAGTTCTCAGTGCAGCTTCCAATCCATACTATTGGGGTTATTTCTGTGTGTGTGTATATATATATATAAATATATATATATGTATACACTGAACTTATCTTGTTGACAAATTGTTCCTTCTCCTTTCTAATTCTTCAGAACGTGGCGAAGACTTCCAAAGAAAGCTTTTTTCTTGATAAAGTGATGATCAGATGATTTTATTTATTTATTTTTTTTTTTTGCTGCTGGTGCTTCTGGGAGTGCTGTTTGGACTTTGTGGTCTATTGCCAGCTGAGGGTTGCATCTCTCTTGTAGTGTCAGAATGCCAAATCTCCAAGAAGCAATGACCAAAAAAAGTAAAAGTGATGCTGTGGTGAACAGTGCTCATGTGATCCTTAAATACATAAACAGCAATGCCTTCAACTGATGATTTTACTAGTGTGTCATGTCATCTCGGAGACAGAACGTTTCTTCTCTTCTTTAAAGTGGCTGTTGGAAAAAAAAATCAAAGGTGCAGGAAGGACAAAAAGACTGGAAACTTTCAGCTAAGTCTGTTAGTTTCTTGAAGAATAGATCTTTTTTTAAGGAAATTTTAAGCTAATGGGAGGAATTAATATCACTACCATTTTTGTGTTCAAGTCTGGTTAAGCAATTTGAAGTTTTAAAATATTTTGCTTGTACTGAAGAAGCACAAGTTGCTGGTTGGCTCTTTTTAAAAAGGGTTCTGGTAGTGGCAGTGGATGCAGGATGCAAACTGAAATTAGTCCAGAACTGAATTATTCATCTCCAAGTAGTATTTGGGTAGTGTGTTACAGATTCCTGTTAAACCAATACGGTACCAATTGAGGATTTCTTTATTTAATGGAGTTTTTGAGAAGAAAGTGCTGTGACCCAGGGCTCGTTAGTAATTACTTGCAGTATATGTCAGTGTAACAATTGGAAGGAATATGTGAATCAGTAAGGTAGCACTCTCTTACTTTATTGAGACAGATTAAGTCATTGAAGAGACGTGCCTCTCCGATTTTTGTGTCCTGTAAAACTCTTGAAGCCATCCCTGAGTAGTATTAAAGTTGATATTTGACATCTTTTTCATCTTTTGAGCATTAGATAACTGAACCAAAGCCACAGTGCAGTTCTGAAGAATAGATTGTGCCTGGTGGTGTGTTTTCCTTGGCAGAGTCAGAAGAATAAATGGCAGAAGGAAAGCTGTGAAGTCATTTTTCTTGGATTGCAGATTAAGTAGCCCAAGACAGCATTGTGTGTCTCATAATTGTGAATGTATCACTGCTTAGTAATTAATGGTTATTTTTAGAAAATGGATTTGGTTTTGCGAACTGGAAAAAGGCCTTTTTTTTTTTTTAAGAACCTTTCAAAATATCTATTATCATAAAAATTACCATAAAATTGTATTTCAGTGAGTATATTAAATATTTTTTCTTTGTCTTCTGAGAATATACACAGAGAGGGGTCCCTACCCATGGCAGGGGGTGGGAACTGGGTGATCCTTAAGATCCCTCCCAACCCAAACTGTTCTGTGATTCTGTGACTGTCACTGATTTCTACGATGCATCCACACACCTTTGCAAGAGCGCAATGATGTGTATGCAAATAGCATAAGTGCCAGGGGATTTTTTTCAGGTGAAATATAGGAGACCTTTTTATTAGGAAAGAAAGCTCAGTAACAGCAAGTACAGGTGTGCCTAACAATGGCACAGGTGTGCCATTAACTGTACAAGGGGAAGATCTATTGAAACACACCTTATTTTATTTCAGATTTCAATATGCATCTGCATTCCTTAACACTGCTTCTGGTTGTAATGTGAATGCAGTGGGAACATGCGCCGTTGAAAGTTTTGCCTTAGAGTAACTGGCTAGAGTTTGGCTTTTCTTTTAGCTGGTTCTTTCTCCCCAGAGAAATAGTCTTGGGCACCATGGTGACGGCAGTCAAGTGGCAAAGAAGCTGTCGTCCCGTTATCAAGTTCTAATAAAACTTCTTCTGAAAGCCTGTTTTTCATGCTCCCCGCCATCCCATCCCCCTGCTTTTTTGTTTTATGTCTCTTGGCATTGAATGAGCTATATTCACGAATGTACTTGAAAAACGTTGGTAACTAGTAATTACCAATACAGTTAATCTCTTAATGTTCATTGTTAATAGAATGCACACTTTGCCCTGGAAACGCTATTAATTGGAGTTGAATGAAATATATAGAGCTAGAAGCTTTTTTTTTTTTTTTTTTTTTTTTTTTTTTAATATATAGTTGAGTGAATTTTGGCTTCGGTTGTATTCCTTTCTAATTTTCGGTCTCCTTTTTAATTAAACAAATTGTGAAAGGAGTAAGAAAAATAAAATTAAAATACACATTTTGAAAAAGAATTAAAGCAAGAAACATGTATTATGATTAATGATTTATATATGTGCATCACGTCAAAAGTGTTGTTTCGTAACAACAAAACCCACAAAACAAAAAAATCAATTACATCTTTTGGTTTCAGAAGGGAGCTGTATGCTCGCTGTTCAACACGTTTCCACGTCAGCTGGTTAGCAAACTTTCTGCCCTCAAACCAGCACGTTTACTAGTTCTTCCAGTCTTGCTAGCGTGAATTGTCTTTAGTTTCTGTTGCACGCTGCGCCCATGGAAAATACATCATTTGTTCAAAAGGAAACAAACCAAATTTAGTACACTTTTCAAATGAAGTTTCAGTTGGTGGAGTAAGGTGTGATGGTGCACGCTGAGCAGCCGCTGCCAAGTGTTGCTGGAGCCCTGCCTCTGTGGCTGTTAAGACAGCATCGCCTGTGCAAGGGGCTGTCGGGCTTCCACTCTGTGAGCCAGAAGCAGCTTTCAGTTGCTGCTCTTTAGAGCATACAGATAGTGAGTTTAAGTGTGCTTTTTTTGGGCAGGGGGAATGTTGTGCACTTTTGTCTGAAGACACCTAACTTAATAATACTGTTTTTCTACAGAGTTCATCTCAGGAAGTGAAATTCAAGCTTATGGAAAGAAGGTAGAGACTTTCAAAATAATTTAAAGAAAAAATAAATCCTTGCAGCACACGTACAAGTTGATCTAGAGATTCCCACCTGAAACTGGTGAATAGCCCCTGGTTTTGGGGACGCTAGCTCTTTCGCTATTGGTTGCATCGGGAATCTGAAGTTAGTGCTCATGAGAAGTAAAATCGGAGAACCCGGGGTGCTCAGCGTGGCTAAAGATTGTGGAGACGGCAGCAAAAAGTCAGACATTCTCTTTGAAGTAGAGGCTTCAGCTGGGTCCTTTTGTGTGCCCTGGGAACTGAGAGAAATAGCAGCCAACCTGGGATAAAATGCCAGCTAAGGGTAAATACTTCTTCAATGAAAATGATGACTGCAGGATAACAGACCCTCTCTATGAGAAGTACCGCTATACAAGCCAGCAGCATCCACTCCTGCTATTGCTGCTCTTCATTGCAATCATCTTCTGGACTATACTAATTATCATCTTTTCTTTTGAAGATGTGAGTATACTATTGAATTGTTGGTATTCAGTGTTTTCAAAAATGATGAGAAATAGGTAAAATAGCATACACATAAAACAGCACTCAACGTTTCTGGTTAAGTAGTTTTTGAGCTACATGGTATGAAAGTTTGATGTTGAAAGAAATAGAGTCATTGTGTAAATAATGCTGTGTATGTTTTTGAAGGGATAGGGTGAGACAAGATAGTTTTGTTACACATGCACAGTTAGGAGGAGGCATGTTCTTCCATTCCTATATGTTATGAACAAATAGTAATCCTCTCTGAGTAGTGGCTATGATAGTAAATAAGTAATAGTGGGGCCAAAGACACAACAAAATCATAAGTTAGAATGTCTCCTGCATGTTTTGTTTTTAAACTTTGTTTTTAGATTCGTCTAAGAAATGTAAATTAACATCGGTTATGAACTCCTGGTGGTTTTTCTTTGTTTGTTTGTTTTTGTTTTGTTTTAGGATTTGTATATTTATTTATTTACTAAAAAGACATCAAACCATCCCACAATGTAATGGGAGATCTGTTGAATCAATAGTCATTTAGCAAAGTGCAGGGATCCTATAGGCATAGGAAAGGTGCACCTTAAAGAAATTTGCTGTTGTGTAGCATAATATGATTGTTGTTGTTGTTGATTTTTTTTTTTAAATAAATAAATCAAGTGTTCTTCAAGTAAGCCCAGTTGACAGCTGGTAAAAAGGGGAGTTGATTTAATGATAATGTTGTAAAAGGGTAATGAGGGAGCTGTTACAATCCTCCACTGCCTTCTTACACTGATTTTCCAAATAGAGTGCTTCATGAGAAAGTGACTTAATCATACCAGTTGCACTCATATCCTGTTTAGCTTTTATTCCTTGAAAATGGAAAGAAATGTCAGTGCTGTTTATATGTGTTACAAGTCAACTGCTGTAAAACCTGCAGAAAATAGTTGTTGTGCCCCTTTTAGCAAAGCTTGAATTCTTTAAATATGTTTATTTGAGTACAATATAGTATAGTTATAACAGCTTAAAAGACAACAACAAAAAGACTAGTTTGGGAAATTATGATGATGAAACTGGACAGACAGGGTACCTAGGATAGTATTTATTGTTATCTTTGTGTGTGAATACCAGAAAGTATTAATGCTGCCACAGCTTGACTACTTAGGAATTCAGCTTAGCATATTTTAAAGCTAATTAAACTCTTTCCAGGACTGTATAGATGCATTTTCCATCTTTACTAAAGGAGAAAGCTAGACCAAACATAACATTTCGTTTTACTTTTGCAGGACCCAAAAAAGCATCTTGCCTTTATTATTGCAGTATGTGCTGTTCTGGTCATATTTGCAGTCATGTACTTACTTTTATGTATCGAATCCCTGTTTCGGAGATGGCTAACGTTATTTGGAGTTATGATTTGGATTTGCTTCCTAACAATAGGATATATTCCTCTTCTTGAAAGAGAAAAAGATTTTTTAGCATGGGAACAGGTATGTATTTCCTGGTAATTCATGTACCTATACAGAACTGGTCAGTATATAGAGATCTACTTGTGTGCTTTATTTTTTAAGAACATTATAACTGCATAATATTTTTTCTTGAGATTTAGGTTTACTTTCCTAAATTGGTTTTATTGGTTTATATTGTGGCCAGTTTTTATTTGTATTCTTCTGGTGGTGAAAATACAGTTCAGCTAAGAAATTTGGATAACTGCATAAATTTATGCAGAAATTGCATCTCTAAGTTGTAATTTTAATTCTATTTAAGCAGGTCAAATACTAATTATTATGAATTCATCTTGAAGAGAAATTTTTGTTAATAATGCTTGCTTTGTTAATTTATGTGTGTCACAGTGGTGTTCAAGACATGTATTAAGGATTCTAGAACTGGGTGTGCCCTAGGGAGCAGTTTTTCTATCAATGGGAGAGGTGAAGTGAACAATAAGAATTAATGACACATCCTGGCATAGCTGGGTGCGGTTCAAGTTCATTACTTAGTATCTCTGATCAGAAGACAGACAATTTCATGATGCCAAAAATATCATAATCTGTAGGAAACTCCGCCTAAACTTTCATAATGTAAACAGAAGAGTTTTTAATGAAATAAAAATGAGTTTTTATCTTGTTTTACTGACTCTTCCCCTTCCCCTCTTTATCTCAAATAAAGAAAGATATAAATTATGAGTTAAACAACCAAAATCTGATTTGTATTATGGCCTCGATCCAGCATCAGTATTTGCAGTTGCTATTCAGTATTTTTTGACTTAAGGAAGAAGATGCCGCCTTAGGAAAAAAACCAAAACTTACTATTAACTATAGGTACAGTCATGTAATGAAGCAAGATTTGGTTTTGTTGCTTTCTATGCAGCAAGTCAGTGCCTTACATTGTTGTAATTTGGTAATAATGTTGATTTAAAACCAAAAATAAGGAGACCATAGATTAGAAAGCAGAAGTGAATAGGTGAAATCCAGAATTTTATCACAAGTTATGAATTTATGACAGATTGAGGCTAGTGTTTAAATGCAGGTATGACCTTTGCTTGCCTGTGCTTATAAAAAAAAAAAATAATAATAATAATAATTACACAGCATTCAGAACAGTCTGATAGGGTTGTAAATAAAGTAGAAAGATTTTTAGTACAGCTCAAATAGTAAATATGGATGTGAAAAGGTTACTTTTTTGTTGGATGAAAACCTTTATTTGTTTGTTTGCTACTTTCTGTCCCAGCCAAGCAATCTGCTTAATTCTGGCAAAGCATTTAAATGTTGTCTGGGCCTTGAGACTTCCTTGAAGGAAGCTGATGTCTGGTACAGCACAAGTTTTATCTGCAGTGAAGAGACAGACCTGAGCCAGGAACGCTGCAGTATTTTCTTCTGATCAGTCTCATTTAGTTTCCATATGTAAGAGCTAATCTCTATAACAAATCTGTAAATATGGATATAAGTTCTGTAGATGTTCCTTCAGATCTGTAGCAGTGTAGCAGATCATTGGGCATTTTGTAAAATTTGTGCAGTTAAATAGGTAGGTAGTGGCAATAGGGATTATTCTCTTCTGTCAGCACTGGGAAGTATTTATCAAATATGGAGCAAATAAATGCGATCTGGTGGTTTTAGGATTAAAATACTAACTTGGAGAAGGTGAGAAATTTGTTTCTATTCAGTTTTGCTATCTGTGCAATGTGCTCTTCCTGATACATAATGTATCAGGTGCATCTTCAGCTGTAATGGATAAATTAAGGATAAAGAGCAAGGACAACTGGAAAAATTAAAGGTGATATGTCAGCTAAACCATTTTATCTATGAATCTATAGCTGCTAATTCCTCCAAAGATTGTAGGGTTACTTCCCTCATGTTTTTAACTGTGCTTTTGAAATGGCAATATTTTATTGTTTGGCTTGAAAATATACAAGAATGCTGCTACTTTCCTTCTTCTTTAGTGATTTTTGGTGAACATGATAACATGTAAGTATGTGTGTGTGTCTCACTATTTTTATTTTTTTTTTCCCAAAGGTGCCATTCTTTCTATTCATAATCTTCACAGTTTATACCATGCTACCTTTTGGAATGAGAGATGCAGTTATAATTAGTGTTCTTTCTGCTCTCTCCCATATTATCGTTCTAAGTGTGTTATCCAAGGATTCTCAGGCAGACAAGAGATCCCTTCTGTTTCAGGTAAGGAGAAGCTACTTGGGTAAGAAATTAAATATCCTAGTCATATTACCACTTGATACTGGCATAGCTATCCTGTTTAGATAAGTACCAAACGTCTATGCAATTCAAGGATTTGGAGCTTGGACCAACATCTGTTTTGCATGCTTTTATGAAAATATAATTATTTTCATTTGTCATGCATTTGGGTTTGCTGACCTGCATAGAAGAAGCAGATTTATTTATTTATTTTAACATGTTACTTAAAATACAACAAACTTTGCCACAATCTTTCTTCCCAATCTGTGCTGTTTCAGATGGGTCCTATCTTACTTCATCTGGTACTGCCTACTGGGTGGATCAAAAGGGCCGCTGTTGCCCCTGGGAGTGCTACAGGTGCCTTTCAGGGTTCCCAAAGCTTATTAATTGGGTGTGTTCAAAGCAGCACCCCAGCTCTTTTGCAGATGATGTCAGACTTCACACAGTATGCTGATGCGTGAGTTTGTTGGCTGGATTATCCCTAAACCAAACACTGGTGTCTGCAAATGAAAGTGTTAAGCGATACAGCAGAATTGTCTTTTACATTGTACTACTGTACATTCGTACAGGAATGCCCATCACTTTGTAAGTTAGTTTATATTTCCTAGGCACATCCTGGCTAATTGAAATGCTATGATTTTTTGTGTAACAGGGTAAGGGGAAAATTAAGACCTGCGACTACTTTTTTTATTTATTTTTTTAAGGGACTAGTAAGTGTGTGTATTGGTGAAAGATCAGTGGCTGTTCTGCTGTAGGTAAATGTTGTTCTTCTTGTGCAGGTACTTGCCAATGCTGTCATTTTCCTTTGTGGGAACTTGATGGGTGCATTTCATAAGCGGCAAATGCAGGTTGCTTCATGGGATTTGTATAGGTACACGTTAAAATGCATTCAGGTTCGAATGAAACTGAAGATTGAAAAGAGGCAACAAGTAAGTGAAATAATTCATGTTATGAATTGCTTGTTTTCATTTCTAAAGTTGGTGTAATTTTATCAGGTTTGTGACTAATGCCTGTTGAAAGGCTAGGGCTGATCTTTGTGATACCTACTTAATGTCAAAAGTTATGCCATTAGTAACAAAAGAAGGAAGTTAAAGGGAGGAAGCTGTTCTGTGTGGCTTGTCTGTATGAAAATCACAATATTTGTAACAGGAATGTAATTTCCAGTTATTTCAGTTAACTTCTTTCCTAGTATAAGAAGTTAAAGGGACTGGTAACTTAAAAGCAAATGTCCTTAGTGTCCTGACAAATACTTGTAAGGAAGTTTCAACAGTTAGTTTTGTGCTTCCCTTGGTCATGCTTTTGCTTTGTAATTCTGCAATATTTGTTCTTTTATTTTCTTGTCTCACAAAGTCTTTCTTTTGCTAGAAGGAGAAAATTGAAACTTAAGGGAGAAAAAAAAATCATATATAATTTATAATCATACTCCAAAAAACATCATAATGTATTATATCTCTAAACTCCAGCAGTATTTAAAGAAGTAGGCAAGAAACATGAGTTTTCTACTGAGGAAGGACTGTAAAGAAGTATCAGTTGAAACTAGTATGCCTTTCTTCTTTTATCCTGGTATAAGTTGGGTTAAGGGTTTAAGCTGGCAGCTGTAAAAGGCTGATGTGTGCTGAGTTCTCTGCCCACAAGTTACGAGATGAAAGGAAGGGGCTGAAAAGTGACCAACTTGGCTGAGTTGAAAAAAAAAATGGCACACTGCTGGTGCAGCATGTCCTCTGATGATAGGCGTGTGATATGAGATGACAAACCTGCATGAAAACCCTAGCAGAAGTCTGTTCCCTACACAATAGCCAGGGATGTCTTTAAGCAGCTTACACAAGCAGTGTGCTTTCTATAACGTCTTTGGGCGATGTGGTAACTTGCATGCCTTCTGTGGTTGCTTGTTTGAAATGTAGATGAGCTTAAGTCTACGGACAGTTTACTTTTCATGTGTTGTAATTTGTCAGACAATTCTGATCTGCTTTTTTGCCACCCACTTTTTCCCAATGGAAATGATGTGAGAAATGCAGGTCAGGGCTCATCATCGCTTTCTGGAAAGCTGTATAATGTGTCAGTATCAAACGGCCCCGTTACATTCAGCAGGGCTCTGTTGGCTTAAATTGGTCCCTAAAGTTGACTCCCGTAATACTAAAACGCTAGGGGAGGGGATGAAGTAGTTTCTGTTTCTGGGAGGCAGCCTCAAGCCAAGCTGCAGCCTATGGCTAGTTTAGTCAAGTACTTGACAGACCCCTTCTTTCTGCTGTGATCCCAACACATTTATTTCTGCCAGTAGGTGCTGGTTAAGCAACCCTGGCAGCTTGCTCCCATCTGTGTACTGCTGCATCCTTTGCTCAGGAAAAGGGGACAAAGATTTCGTCAAAACAGGCAGAGTTTTACTCAGTTACACAATCTGGCTTTGCTGGCAGTGTTGTCTGAAAAAGTTTCTGCTTGTAGTAGCTCCACACAATGTTTTCTCTTCTGTGGTGGCTCTTTCCATGGGGCAGCAGAGCCTTTCCTGGGCTAAAACTACTCTCCTTTTGTCTTCTGCCCAACAACACAGTGCTCTCTTCTTTCAAGAGCAGGCTTTTAAGACAAAGCCAGCAAAACATGCAGCGCACTGAATAGTCAAATAGTATGTAAGTGGTTTGTAACAAGTCTTTATTCTCACTCAGTTCAGAAGACTTTTGTTTCAGTGGCATCAGTTTCTGGTCGGTTGAAGGAGTTTTGTATCTGCTGCGTTCCCAGCACTTGAGGTTCTCAGCTACTTATTTCAGCATTTGTGAATTCACAAGGGTTTTTAGTGCTGCATAGATTACTAGCTATAGAGCGTGAGATTTCATCAGATTTTTATCAGATGCTAACGTAATCCTGAGGTTGGTTGGGGAAAAAAATAATTTATCTAGAAATTGTAGTAATACTGATTTATTTATTTAACTTTCTCCTGTTTCATACTTAGGTGTGACATCTAGGGCACAAGGAACAAACCAAAAAAAAAAAACAGCAACCCGTGTAACCCACTTAAATGTAAAATTGTTTTTTTTTGCTTTTGAGAACCGAAATGGAACAGTCTTTTCTGGAGAACCTGACATGCATTATGCAAAGGCTATTTGAATAAGGAGGTTTTATATCTTTAATTCATTCTTGTGGCCACTAAAATCTTGCAGTTTCAAAGTCACTATATGAAGAATTTTGTATCATTAATTTTTTTTGCTCCCCCTTTAGGAAAATTTGCTTTTATCCATACTGCCGGCTCATATATCTATGGAAATGAAGCTAGCAATCATAGAGAGACTGAAGGAAACTAATGATAATAGGCAAATGCATGACAACAACTTCCACAGTCTGTATGTGAAAAGACACCAAAATGTAAGGTAAGTTTAATTTCCAAAGTAGTTATATTGACATAAGCTGCTAATTTTTACCAGTGCATATTGTCCAGTGAAACTAAAATTCAGAGGTAGACTTCCAGGCTGAAGTGGACTTCTTTCCTGTTGTTGAAAGATAATCTGTCCAAACTCATGTGTGGCCTTCTAATGAGTTGAGATACCCCCCCCTTTTTTTTTTCTGAGGGAGAAGTGTTTTCCATTAAATGCATTTTAATATTTCAGCTGACTGCGGAATAGACATATCTTCATATATCATTTATTTATTTATTTTCCTTTTGTTCTTGTGTAGCATTCTCTATGCAGACATTGTGGGATTTACTCGCCTTGCCAGTGACTGCTCTCCTAAGGAACTAGTAGTAATGCTGAATGAACTTTTTGGAAAGTTTGATCAGATTGCAAAGGTATGTGTTGCAGTTTCTTGTAGAGTGGGATTAAAGACTACTTTCATTCAGTTAAAATTCAGTTGTTAAAACTTCAAGTACCGGAAAGTAAAAGTTTCATATTTTCTATATTGAATTGAAGCAGCTATTAAGAAATCTTGGAATAAATCATGCCATCGTAGTTGCCACCAGCTTTTTATTCTACAGTAGAAGTTGGGATTAAAGACATTTGGTAATTGCAACTGTTCCTTGGGTACAGATTTAAGATTTTGAGTGATATGCTTGAATTTCTGCAAATTGCACTGTTTAAAAAATATTTGGATTTAGTGAGTCAAGATCTTTTGCAACTCTGTGGTTGGGCTGTAAGAAGAGATCGCTGCTTTTTGTACTATTTTTATTCTGCAAGGAAATATTCTCAGTCATCTCTTCCACAATGTGAGGACGTTGTAGGCTCCAAACTAAGTCCATGGCTAACCTGGATGCTTGGCTGGATACTAAAGTCTACCAGCTCTAATCCTAAAGGTACCCCAGAGATCTCTGAAACACAGAAGTACAGGACTGTCTAAGCTTACTTAATCAGAACCTATGGAGTGGCTTCAGATGTTGGAGAATGATGTGTTCTCTTAAGGCTTGGACTGATGAGTGAGAACAGCTTAGTTTGATAAATTGTCACTGACTTGGGCTGGTTGTAAATTGTAGTACTTCAGAGTTGATGGAAGAATTGCTGAGCTGTTCCCACAGTAGGGATGGTTGCGCAGGTGAAGGTGTCCCAAATTAAGCTATCTCTCATCATCAGTCAAACCCTAATTTCTCCCTAAATTCTGGGCAGATTTTGTGTCGCTACATAATGTTATTTATGAGACTGCCATGAGGAAATTGAAGAAAAGGTGAACAAACCGCTTATTATTCAGGTGTTAATAAATTAAAGGCTAATATTAAGAGAGATAATTAGATTTCATCCTTCAGATGGTAAATTCTTTGACAGTTTTGCACTGCTATAATTTCATTTATAGTTTCTCAATTGCAAACAGTTCCAAGAATAAAGTCAGAAATAAATAAGATTATTTTATTTCAAAAATGCTTGAAGCAGTCATATCTAATACCTTCCAGGTGCTTGGATGCAGAAAATTAGAAGTAGGTTTTGCTTCAAACAAGATTGAATGGAGCCTGACTTCCTCAAAATGGTGTAGACAAGTCCGAGATTTGGCGTCATTGGCCTACCTGCAGTTCACTTTTTTTTGTTGTTGTTTTTTTTTTGTTTTGTTTTGTTTTGTTTTCCTGCTAAATATGTTTAATTTCACAGGAGAATGAATGCATGAGAATAAAAATCCTGGGAGACTGTTACTACTGTGTGTCAGGCCTACCTGTGTCCTTGCCAGTTCATGCCAGGAACTGTGTTAAAATGGGACTTGACATGTGTGAAGCAATAAAGTAAGTACAGCACAGAACACTTTTTAATTGTATAGAGTCTAAGAAGATATTGAATGGAGTCATTCTTAGTATTCTTGTTAACCTTCAAAAAGCATTTATTACCTGTAGTTTGATAGTTATACATTAGGTCATAAGTTTGTCTCTTGTCTTTCCACTGGGTGTATGTTAAGAATGAACCCTAATAGATCTCCAGAATGAAGAGACAAAGTCAAAAATGTAAAACATGTAAAACTCCTTCCTTCCTTCCATAGGCAGGTGAGAGAAGCCACAGGCGTGGACATCAACATGAGAGTCGGTATTCATTCTGGGAACGTGCTGTGTGGTGTGATTGGCCTGCGGAAGTGGCAGTACGATGTCTGGTCTCACGACGTTTCCTTAGCGAACCGCATGGAGTCTGCGGGCGTACCTGGGTGAGAACCTTAGCTCTCAGTGCTGGCTCACTCTACCATCACCATTTTCATAATTGTGGCTTATGAGTCTGGAATTTGTAACTGTGCCATAATGCAAATCATCCTAATGGCATGAAGAAAATAGGTCAAATGTGTACTTACTTGAGCAGTAAAATATTAATATTTTCTGATGGTTACTTTTCAATGCGCTATACAATTGTTTTCTCAGGAAAATAACTACTTCTTAAACTCTCCTTCATTTGAGAAAGTTGTGTGGCTTTAGCAGTGCATTTGTTAACTTGTATTCCGTAGTGTAATTTTAAGTTTAGATAAAGAATAGATGCACTTCTTACGTTGACAAGGCAGAGCAGCATATTTACCTGATGTTTCTGTTGACATATAAATCAGGTGGGACCAATTGATCTTAGCTCTATATTCAAACACACCACAAGCCCCAACCCTCAGAAATTAAAATAGACGCTGGTGAGAAGTGGCCAAGCAAGAATTGGGAGCTGTTGACTGTTGTGTATTCTTTCTGCATAGCATTTGCCATGGGCAGAATGAGAAGCAGAATGAGTAGTCCTGGGTGGAAGAACTGAGGCAAAGCAGTAGTGTAACTTGGTGTGTATTGCTCAGCAGTGTAGGGTGTTGGGCCTGAGGTTAATCTTTTTGCTACCTTTTTGAAGATCCTTATGAAAAGGACAAATATAAATGCTTCTAAAAATAGCAGTACTTTGTATGTTCCACATTGAGGAAAATATTCCTGTTTTCTGATTTTGAAGTTGAGTCAGAGATTAGAATTGAGCAAAAATCTTTTTCTTTTCAGTAGTCTGTACAAAAAAGATAATATTACAGGTTTTCCTTTTTCTATTCCTAAATGACACTGTAATTTTGCATGTTCTTGGTAGCCTGTGCAAATTAATGCTTACTAATGCAATGACGTTCGGAGGGGTATATGTTTAAAAAACATTAAGCATTAAGATACTCGTTTCTCTTGGAAAGTGATTCTAAGCAGGAACATTGTATCATCAGCAATTGTCATCTTATTTGCATGTCTTGAACACTGTTTAGGTAAAAACCTGTAACTTTAAAGTGATTTTCTGCAAAATAGTAAGGGGATATGAGTTCTTTTCTTTCATTGGTAACAGAAACAGAAAACAAACTAATTGGATCTTAGATAACAGTTACAATGCCATCCAGGTTGAGTGTTTTACTGTGATTCTGCATGATGAAACAAGAATATGGAGTTGTAAAATTTCTTTTGTTGGTAAAGCAAACAACATGACTCTGAACATGGCATGAAAGTTTATTTTTTTAGTCATGTTTAGTACTATCGCCTAACGTTAAAAACTGATTATTGCATTATGTTTGTCATGCTTATATTTGATTCTCTCTTTGATTGAAGCTCTTTTAGGTTGGCTTGCTGATTCCAAGATATTACAGTTAATAATTTCTGTAGCTATACATGTCTAGCACTTGCTTTTCACATGTTAAAACTAGCTGAAGGAAACCTTCAATTCCTGGAAAACTAAGCCTCATAGGGAAAGGGGGGATTTCTATTTGTTATGTAGCTTCCTCTGTGGAACAGTGATCTGTCTGGGATTCTCCATAGCTTGCAAACCTAGCTAGTTCTGCTCCTTTGGAAGACAGAAGAAATTTTGTCATTGAGGGTTTCATTTCAAATAGGAAGTATATATATTTTAGGCTGCTGTCAATGAAGAAATTCTGAAGACATTTGAAAGGATGCAGGGAAACTTCTCCTTTTATAAATATATTATTTCCTTTGACTGAATATCCTCATTCTTTTCTAGACTAAAAAGAATTTGTATTCATAACAATGTAATACACTGGTAAAGCAGAAAGAACAAGCATAACATCAAAACTAAAAATGCATTTATGACTATTTCTCTAATGTATATGCCTGAAAAATTGTGATGTGTTATTCTCAGACTTCTTAGCACAGGGAAATGAGAGTGCATATGTTAGATATTGTGCACTAACATTAGGTGCCTTGGTGCGTATTAAAACTCGCCTTTGAGAGGCAACATTAGCAACTTGGAGTCCAGTAAGCACCAGTAACCGTTGAGAAGTTGTCAGCGTAGTCATTTAAATAGGAAGACATATACAGTGAGATCTGAAATGTGCTATGATAGTGTGTGACTTTGGGAAAAGGGGAGAGGATTCTTGATAAAATTGGAAAATTATGGATACTAACAAATGAGATAAGTAGAAAACAGGAAACTTACTGCAGTACATGACTGATTTGATGCTCATTTAATACAGACATCACCCAGTATGCTTCGGTTCTGATTGGGGGGGAAAATGATGATCTAAAGCAGGCTATACAATTTTAGATTTGAAGGTTTGCCTCTACTACAAAACTGCTTAACTAAGGTAACAATTAGAAAAACCAGTCTTTTGAGACAATTACCAGTAAACAAAACCATGCATCCTCTGTATCCCAAAACTCTTACCTTCTAACTCTGAAAGAACTGAAGAATTTTTTTCTTCCTTGTGGGAAGCCATAGGCAGTGGTCTCCAGGTCTTGGCTAAATTATCTTCAGGTATCCTCTGCAGGATAAGGAAGTTGAGATGGATGGGACCATCTCCTTTCTTTCTGTAGTGCTGTCAGCTTCCATTCTGGAAATGTTCTGCTCCCAGCTCCGTGCTGACAGGCTGTAGGAATGACTGCGCAGGTAGTTAACCCCTCAGTGCCAAGGGAAACTCAGAAAAGCAGTGGGAAGATGAACAACTAGAAAGAATATAACAAAAAAGTATTTATTTATCTGTTTATACACATATATGCACATGTAGACTTCTATGAATGTACTAAAGTCTCTTGTTGAGAGATTCTGTGGAAAGGTATTACTCATTATTTGTATGGAAATACATGATTCAGGATACTGGACTAGAGAACATCCAAGGGAAAACATGAGTGGGTACAGACAAGTGCTAGCTGCTCCCATTAAAAGTCTGTTGCTGTTGCTGTGTTACACTCGATTTGTTTCAGTCAGAAAAGACAGACTTTCAGAATTGTCCTGAAAACAACAACAACAAAAACTTTTCCAACTCTTTTCAATATTTTCTTTATCAATTTCTCCTCCCCTCCCCATGTGTTTCCTGCGTAAGGCAGTCCTCCCTTGTGCTTTGTATGTGAACTTTCCTTGTGGCTCTTGCTGTTTGAAACAACCTGCCTGTATGTCTGTTTTGTTAGTCGTTGAATCTCCCGTGATCATATTTCTTCTTGCTTCTTGTATTTCTCTTTGTCTCCGACCGTGTTTATTTCACTTTAATTTTATGCTGGTAGTATCCCAATCTGGAAAGTGTTTTTTGGCATGTTTATTATGAAGGATGTGCCACAAAGATCTGCAGCAATGGATTGCAAATATTGTTTTAGGTACTAGCAGGATTTTGGAGTTGGCTGCCAAAGCACAGAATGGCTGAAAAGCAGAAATGTCAGCAGTAGCCTTTGAAATGTAAATGAGATGCTTAATATGACCTTTCTGTAAATGTTTGGGTCTCTTGTTCTTTCTTTCATTCTCAGCCGTGTACACATCACTGAAGCAACGTTAAATCACCTAGGCAAAGCTTATGAAGTAGAAGAAGGAAATGGACACCTTAGAGATCCTTACCTTGAATCCATGAATATCAAAACCTACTTGGTGGTTGATCCAAGGGTATGTGCATGTTTTTAAACATGTATATTAAAAAAAAATGCATTTTAATTGCATAGCTATCTGCTTTGCATACATCTTTTTAATTCAGGAACAGAATTTAAACATGGAATGAGTCATCTGAATAGCTTTGATTTGGGACTTTAGATCTGAAAGCATATCCTATTGTTCTGTGAAATGTCTATTAGCTTGAAGGTAATAAGTGTTACGCTGAAATCTCTTACATGGCCTGCATAGAGTCAAAATCTATATTGGGTTATGTATTTGCTTGAGCCGTGTGACTCTCAAATTAAGGTCAAAAGGTGGGATGAAGTAACGAAAGTGCACCTGTACTGTGTAGCCACTTTCAGTTAAAATATTCTCTGTAGTGTGGCTTCTGACAACCTCTTCCTCAGTGTTTTCAATGAGATTCACCTTATTTTCAAGATATGCTGGTATACAGATAACTGCTGGTTACCTACTTAGGGCCAGATAACCACAAACACATTGGGTATTGATGGTTTGAATTGGCTTCTGGTTGACAATAAAATATTTTAAAAGAAAGAAGAATGAAGACAAACTCCTTTCCTTCAGGATCTTTATGGGAGTCACTTTGAATTATCAACAGCTCAAGCTTGTTTTACTTGTATGTTTTATGTATGCCACAGTGTGCATGCGCACACACACATCATATACACTGCATACATTCTCAGATTTAAGATCTAATTGTTTAAATGGTCCCTACTCACTTGAAGATACCTATGAGGTGTTAGCAGTTAACCAGTCAATGATTTATCAGTTTATTCTGTAGTTTTAGCTTCCTTTTAGAAGCTAAGGAGGTACTGCTGTATGAGTACTGCCTGGCTGTTCACCAGCTGCGTAGGGATGTCATCTAAGGCAGAGTGTCATTTGTGGGATCTTCTCCTGACCTATGTTTTGATATGCCCTAGCTCAGAAATTGAATATCTCATGCTTCTGCTCTTGTGCTGACTGTAAGGAAACTGCATCTGAGATCCCAGATCTCTCACATCATCACTTATAAACCAGGACGCTTGAAAGTTGTTTCACAAGTGAAGGCTTGTAATGGGAGCTCAACCAAATTAATTATGTCATGATTTGCTCTAGCCCAAATTAATTAAGTGAGACAAAGGTTGGCTGACACATCGCCAATGAATGTTTAGAGTCCTAGTAAGTTGCTAGATTGTTCTTAAACTACTTAGCTACCCTGAGCTTCATTTGTTTGTAATCTGTATCACTTTCTGTTTTCTAAGTTACTGCATTTTTCTGTTAGTCCAAACAGTGCGTGTCAAATAATCATCTCCCTAAAACAAGAGTTAATGATGGGCTGAAGATGCGAGCATCTGTTCGGATGACACGTTATTTGGAGTCCTGGGGAGCAGCCAGGCCCTTTGCCCACTTGAACCATAGGGAAAGCGTGAGCAGTGACTCTTCCATTTCACAAGGAAGAAAAAGAAAGGTGAGGGTTTAAATAATTATTGTCATCTTAAAAATCTGAACTACTTGAAATCTGATGCTTTTTGAGGCTGAGTTTCTGTTGTTCTAACTTGTTCTTTATTCCTTATTTGGTTTAGGAAATACCTTTGTGTTCCACTGGGCGCCAGAGGACTTCTGACAGGTTTGGTTTTGGTGGTGCTTAGGAACTGTTGTGGTTTAGGAAAAAGCCATTCTTTCTTGAAGGATACAGGACTCCCAGATGTATAGCTCTTTAAGGCTTTCACGAGTTTCTTGCAGCAAAAGCCATTTCTATTATCCCTTCTTGGTGGAGACCTTTTTTAAGTCCTGAAAAAAACGACTTCTTTGCTGATTCCCAGCAGTAACCTGTTGGATTTTGGTAGTGGGATGATCTTGTTGCTCAAGTACTTAAAGAGCACATACTCTTTGTTATATTGTTTACCTCCATTATATTACTTAGAAATAATTAGAGGGTCCTCCCTTGCCTAACAGCTCACACATTCCTGGGTTAACCTCTTAGTGGTTAAGGATGCTAATTTTGAGCCCATCTTTACTCATAGCCAGCCAGTTACACTCAGTTGTCAAAGTGGCTTAAATGTCATTTCCCTCTCTTTATTCCTGAGTTTCTTGTCTTTCTAGGATTCTGAGTACTGACATTTAGATGTAACGAGGACACTGTCTTTCTATAGGACTACGAGATAACTGTGTAAGAGGAAGGAGAAGTTAATAGGAATTTCTAGTTTCATCTTTGCTTTCTGATGCTGCCATTATCAGCACTAGAAAGCATACCTTATCTGATTTCTGTCTTGGAGTTTTGCTTTGCTAATGTTTGTTTGTGCTTGCCATGCATTTGACTTTGGTCTATTTGAAAAAGTACATAAATTATTTTAAAATAGTTGTCTGATTTTGAAAGTAGCCAGATGTTATTTTAATGTGTTTTAGGATACATATATTTATCAAAAAGCTGTTTAAATAAGATAAACAATGTCTGATAATCCCACAGTACATAACTTTTTCTACATATTTAAGAAGTTTGGATAAAGAGGAATTGTATCTATAAGCCATTAATTGTTTCTGAATAGCATTTGTGACATGGACTTCATATTCACAGAAATTCATCTCAAAAGGGAAGGATAGAAGAAGATATTTATGATGAAATGATGTCAACCATCGAGGGACTCAGTTCAACGAAGTATGCAGTACTTTATTTTTTTGTCATATTTTCTTCAAGAATAATTTGCATTCACAATTTTAAGTCTAGATAGCAAATTTATTTTTTGAAAACATTACCAGGAGTTTGTCTTGCTCTTTTTTTTGTTTTGTTTTGTTTACTGAAGTTCTCTTTTTGCTTTAGTTTGCAGTAATAATATCACTATTTTCATTATTAGAACAAGAAGCAAATGGTTAGTTTAGCTGTTCAATGTGATCTGATACTATGAAATAGCAAAAGTACTGCTTTTTTTCTTAGGACTCTGAAATTATGAGGTGAACTGCAGTACGGGGATAGGAAGTCAATATTTGCATTCTGATTATTAAGATAAGATCTATGAGGAAATGGGGTGTAGTTCTGAACAAAATTTATGTATAAAGACATAAATCATAGCAAGGCTGCTAATACTGTAATGTCTGGTAATACCTATGGGCAGTGTTTGGAAGCTGTAAGCCATCTCTAACATTTGATGTTATATGTTCCTATATTTAAAACTTAAAAAAAAAAAAAAAAAAAAAAGTCTGGGATTATATCTTGTGTGTAACTACCAAACACTGCTGTCTGTGGAAGTTTTGGATCTGCCTGTCAACATTAAAATTTAGCAGCTCATGTGTCACCCTATGAAACATAAAGACCTTCCAGAGCTGTCAGATGTGTATAAAACCATGGCACCAACACCTTGTGTACTGCAGAGCTGTAACTACAACAATGCTCTTGCACTCTTCCCTGGGCCTGCTGCATACTTCTTGTAACACGTGTCTCTTTGTATGTAGTCCATGGTGTAGCAAATCTGATGACTTCTATGGATTTTCACTGATATTTGCAGAACCTGGTCTTGAAAAAGAGGTTGGTAAGATCAAAACAATCCTTCTCAGTCTTTATTTTGCACTTCAGAGCAGCATGAGTATATTTGAAACTGTTTTCATTCTTAAACTGGATTCTAGATATGACTGCATACCCAGAGAGGCTTTTGATAACTAATGGGAAGCAGATCTCATGATTCATTTGAGCTGGTCACTCTTCCTTGATAATGCTGGTTATTAATGTGAAATTAAAGGAGATTGTTTCTGACCTGTGGTTAAATTCTTGCCATGAGGGAGCCAGTAGGATTTTAATCAGCTTTATTATATAAAGAACTTATTTCAAAAGTAATGAGAATTAAAAAAATGAAATGTAATGAAAATATATATATATTTTCTGGTTGCTTCATTGCAAGTATAATACCATTATTTGTTAGGTAGAGTTTTCTGTTCTTTGATTCACTGTGCTGTGATGCACCTTACATAGTTACTGGTACACACACACACAAACGTGTATATCTATCTATCTATATATACTGTGTGTATATCCTTTTTTTTGGTAAAATTTTCATCATTTGTATCTGAAGTGCTGATTTACATACTCAGGGGTGGATTTCCCTCTAGATTAGAAATTATTCTTTGGACTGGGCTTTGGACTGTGTTTATATTTGTTCACTGATTTTCTTTTGTTGCCTTTTAGTTCTGTGTGTTTTGAACAGTACAGTATAAATTTGTGTATGCATATGTAATCACAAAGATGTAATAGATTCAAAAAATATCCTGGAATTGTTCTTTATAGTAATCTGATTTGTTATAATCTGTGTTTCAGTATCGCACCATTCCTATTCTAAAACTGAAGAGTTACTTTGCCTGTGCGAGTTTTGTGTTCTTCTGCATTTTCCTGATACAGATGTTTATAATGCCAAAGTAAGTGTCAGTATTTTAATCAATTATAATTCAAGTTAACTAATGGTTTAAAAGAAACTCATGTGCATGAAACTTCTTGAAGTCTTTTGGAGTTCCTGAGGGATTATGCTTAAGAAAGATACACTTCCTAGGACTCTCAAAGAGCGCATTCGTATTGTTGGCGTAACAGCCCAGATATCAGTATGGAAATAAAATAGAAATATTTCTTAAATACTATGTATGACTGGATATATATGCAGCGAGATGGTCAGTTGATTGATAATTACAGCCAACTATTGTTATAAAATAGTAAGCTTGCTGACTGAGTGAGGAATAGAAAAATTGGTTTATTTGGTTTAAAAAATAAACAATGATCAGCAATCCTTTTTTTTTTAATTTTTTTTTATTTTTTTTATTTCAGTTTCTTCTCACATCTCCAAGAAAGCAGATATTTGATGTTTCTGACCTTTATGGGATACTTGCTTTTTTTCACAGCGCAATTTCCATGTGATTTATGTGTGGGGGTAATAGTTCAGGCCCTTAGTGACGGAGTGGAATAATTTAAAGTTATGTTTATGCAACAGAGAGCAACAATAACTTATGCTATTTTTATGGACATCCAGTGCCATTAGAAAAGAACAATCTATTTATAATTTTGAGAAATGCTGTTAGCAAACATTAGTCTGATGTACAGTCTGAAAAACATTTTCATTTAACACTTTTGTTTAATGCTTTCTCTTCTGTTTAGAACTGCAAAACTAGGAATCTCCTTTGGTGTTGTTGCAATCATCATTGTACTTATTTTGCTTGTATGCTTTGCTGAGAAATGTATGGTAAGTTTTAAAAAGCAGATGGATATAATTTGACAATTCAGTCTATTTTACAGGATGATGAATTAAGCTGTTTATTTCAGTAAGAGTTGCAGAAGCCTGAAACTTTAGGTTACCAGCAGATTGCACTGCCTGAAACAGATTCTCATATTTTGAAGTTCTTACTGTAGTTTGAAATTATTTGAGTGCCAGAATAGATGGCTAGGAGGGAAGAGTGTATTAACACTTGTGTGATGGGGTTGCTTTTATGTTTGTGTTTGTTTGTTTCCCTGTGTTTATCCTTAATAGTAATTTTGGTTGTAAATCCTGAGGTTTCCATACTGGAAACAAGATTAAATTCTCAAGGAGTTTGAATGCAAGGTTAGTTTTCATAATCATTGGTAAAGCCCTATGAAAACTACAAACATATGAATAATTCATTGACAACGATTTCATAGCTGTTAGAATTTGAAATTCACCATAATTCACCATTACATCAATTTTTCATTGCATCATTAAATGTCTGCAATTGCTGTTTAAAAATACATAAAGCACCCTGTAGTGACAGAGTTCAACTGTGCAAAATGAAATAAACTCCATCTCTTCTCCAAGAACTGTCTGGAGGCTGGGGGTTGGAGAGGGAAGGAATTTTAGAGTGTTCCTTACACTCATCAAATCTTCATTGTGTTAGAGCAAGGGTGGGAGAGCATTTTGAAGTTCTGTTGAGATCATCCCACCATCATCTTGTTGCAGACTAATGAGGGTGGTCTTCCAGGAAATCTGTCACAGAAAGGTGGTCTCTTACAGAGCCAGGTTCAAATTGTGTAAAAGGGAAAGGTAAAAACAGTGCACTCTACATATGTAAAATTTTATTATTAATTTAAAAATAGTTAGATAACATGCACGGCATTTACATAGTAGTTTTTATTTATATGGATTTTATGTGTGTATGTCTGTATAGAGATGTGTGTGTATCTGTATCCACGTATAGTTTCTACGTATGTAAAACACATGGAGAAAAAAAAGAAAATTCCAAGATGACAACTGCATCAGGCTTGAGTTTTAAACTGGCAGTCTTTGAGTATAGCATCCTTGAACAATGTTTGCAGTCTTCTAAAAGCATATGCTTTACCAAATATATTTTCTCTGAAGCAATAAATGAAGGCTATTAGGATGGCAAGGGAACTGTCTTTGGTTTTGATTTAGTCATCTGAAACTTTAGTTCTAGTGAAGTATTATATATCTGAATAAAAAATACAGCGCAGGCTGTCACTATATTTTTACTAATATTTATTTAGCACTTTCAATCAGATCATAGTTTGCTATTTTTACAGTAGACATTCAAAAAATGTTATCACCCAATGATAACATTGATAAGTTTTGAAATCAGAAGTCATTATCTCAATTTCCAAGTCTGGAATTTAAGGCATGAGGCATTAAATCTGAATTACTAGATTCAGCTCTAAATTTGGATCCTAACAATGAGCCTTGACTCTTTTGCATAGACAAAAGTATTTTTAAATTTATAAATATTTCTTCACACATACCAAAATGTTGGCCATGTCATTAAAACTATATTTTTATTTTATTTTATTTTACAGAAGCACTGCTCAGAAAGGTGGCTTTTTCTGCGCCATCTTTGTGCTATCTCAGAAAAGGTGGAAACAATGCCTTTACTTAGGCTTCCTTTAGCAGTCATCACTATAGGTGCCTTGCTGATTATAGCTATCTTTAACTTGGTAAGTAATCACATTACCTTCATTCTGTGAACATATTGTAACTTCGAGCAATGTTCTTTATTCTTTTTATTAAGTATTTTGCTTTTTGCTTTTTTTTCTGATGTCCAGTTTCCACCTGAGTTGATTCACACGTGGGTAATGCACAATGTCATTAAAATTAACAATAAAAAATCTTGTGAATATTGTAAAAATGTAAAATAATTCAAAGCAAAAAAATACTAGTTTGTAGAACTAGAAGTTCTTGCAATAGACTTGAGATCTATGTTTCCATCACCTCTTCTTGCTTTCAAGATGGCATTTATAATTACCATTGATTATGACTATCATCGCTAAGATGGTCTTCAAGTATTTTACGTGGGTTTAAATGTTTGGCTGATGTAGGTTAAGTGGTTTACTCTGTTATGCTCACTACCTAGGAACAATATAGGTGGTGGAGGGGGAGGTGTATAGCTCAGCTCTCTTTTAAAACCAAAGACATTGTGGCTAGACTAAGAAGCAAGCAGAATCCATCTTTTAAATTTAGTTTGAGTATTGTGTTGCACCTGGGGAACACACATGAAAAAATACCCTTTGGAGTAATGTAATGTAATGCTCAAGACCATGTCATTTGTGTTTTTGTGTTTTGTTTTAAACAAGCTTTATGTGACATCATGTTAACAGTTAAACCTGTCTGATAGCTAGCTAGCAAAGGTGATGTTCTTCCTATCCTGTGTTCTCAGTCTGCCATTCTCCTGATTCCATGGGGAGTTTATTCTGAAAGCTGTATTGTAGCTTTTGTAAAGTTGTTTTTCTGCTGGCTTGGGTCCTTGAATTGACTCACAGTGGTGTCATTTAAACACCACCAGAGACAGCCCAAAAGAAAACAGAAACAGCAGCTGTGAAACTGGTGGGGGAGACAGTAGGATAATGTCTGTGCCAGTTAGCTCTTAGATTAGATTAGCTGTAATGCGAAACTTCACCCCCAAATAAAAAAGTAAGTAAATACTTGGCAATTCTAACCTTCTCATTACCTTGTGTGTAAATGTATAGTTAATTGAAGCTGTATGGGATATGGAGTTCTAACACTTAAGTTGCAGTAGCACTGAAAGAGAGCCAAATCAGGACTCGCTGTATAACATGCAGCAAAAAATCTTAAAATGAATGACTACCTGCTAACCAGTTTGTATGTTGTTTTGTCTTTTTTTTTTCCTTGCTAACAAATCAGACTACTGGAAAAAACAATACTGCAAACTTTACTAGATCAAATTATGTGAATGGCACCATCTATGTGAGTAACGTCTTCATTTCTAAGATAAAATGAAACGAGGCTTAGATAGTGTGTAGAATATAGATGGATGGCAGTGTTTGGATATCTTTTCCTGCTTTTATTAAAACAGAATTCTTAAACCATTGAACACAAAGATTACTACTGCTGCAAGGCAGTTCTAGCAATATTTTCTGTTATTACCCATGACTTTACTGTGCATTTCCTAGGGATTTTCAAAAGTCTCATACTACGGGTAAAGCCAAAGTTGGCTTACTTTGGTTACTCAACACTTTTGAGAGGTGTTCCCTGGCATTTGTGTCAGGGATAGTTAGGTGCAGCACTCGTTAACTGCACAAAAGGATTATTCCTACTGACGTAGTATTTTAGCTCTTTAGCTTCAGAATAGCTTTCTATTTTGAGATTGTTCAAATCTTTGTGATGCTCCTTTGTTACCTGGTCACCCCTTCAGGTGATGAGCATTTTATTGAACAATGCATAGTAGGTTGTGTGAGGACCCTTTTAATCGAAGTCCTTGTGACAGAAAAGTCGTACATAATGTAATGCAAATTGTACTCATCTAGTGATTTTCTATTCTTACAAGCCTGAAAATCAGTCTTCTGGAGACACAGCTGAATACTTCACTGAGAAAACTGTAAGTAGTGAATATGTTTTATTTTAAAACTCAGATATTTGAATACTATATATATTGCCGATAACTGGCAGGTTCTGTTGCTGTATAAAACAGCTTTTTAGGCATCTGGCAGCATCACAGTTCTTAAGGAAATTGAGATGTTTCTGCTGCTGTTGCAGTGATGAAGGAAGCATGACTTCTGATGTTTTAAACAACAACAACAACAAAAAAAAAGGCAAAATTGAAAGTAGGTCTAGAACTTTAAGGAAAAGCAGCAGAACAGGGTGGTGATTGTTTGTGAAATGAGAACTGAATTTGCAGTTATCCCAGTAAAGTACTGTGGCAGAATGAAAGGGCTTAAATGGCAAACAGACTTGTGCTCTCAGAGGGTTGGCTGTGGGGTTGAAACTGTGTGCTCATTATCTTTTGAAAGTTATACTCAAAGCCATTAGGATGACAAAGTTGGTACAATGCATTGCTATAGGTGGTCTGATTCTGAGTTGTCAAAAAAAATTTTCTAGCTTCATTTTCTTCATCAGAAATTTTTGCTTTGTTTAATAATCTCCCAGATATGTGGTAGGTCTGTCAGTGCTGTTATGGGTGAAAAGCTGCTATAATGTGATCCTATGTGCATAAAGATAAATAAACTCTTGAGGAACAGAAGCAGAGGTAATTTCTGAATTGTCTGTAGACTGAAGTAAGCTACATCTGTACCTGTGGCAGTGGAGAGCAATCCTGTCTCTGCAATGAATTCTGTAGCAACTGATGTTCCAAAAGTTCCCAACTGCTGGCTGAATGTGGAAGCCAGGCTTGCACTGTGATTTCCTTATGAAATTTTTCATGCCTGCCATTGGATAATGGCTCTAGCTTGATAATGCATCAAAGTTCTCATGAAGAAGTTGTGCCTAAGGCTGGAGAGCTGCTCACAGCCTTACATGTTACAAGCTGGGGAGATGGGAATGTGCTATCAGCGTAAGGTTACAAAGGGAGCACTATTAAAAAGAGGACCAGAATTCAGGAGTTTGTGTTTCAGAGCCAGTTCACTGGACTATAAAGCTGGTGTAAGTTAGTCCTGACCTTGAAATAAGTAAATTACTAGTCTTCAGAAAATAAGTTCTCAACACTCATACCACTCATATTAATGTAATTCTTGTTTAAATGTTCATCTTTAACAAATTAAAAACTAGTAGCTATAAAAAGTGTTAAATTCTGCATTTAGTACAGTTAAAAATAAAGGATTAAGTGGTTATAATTTCTTTTTATGATGGTCATGAACTTAAAGCATTTGCTATGGCTTGAAAGTTGCATGTGCATAAAGCGTGAATAACATAACTGCATTTAAAATCTTCTTTTACAGTATTATGCATATTGCTGCATTTTGGGGTTCATTGCTTGCTCAGTATTTCTTCAAGTGAGCTTCGAACTCAAGGTTCTCCTCCTGTCTATTGCTGTGACTGTATACCTCTTCATTTTCAATACCCTGCCAGAGCCTTGGAACTTGAATCTATCCGTCAACAATACCAGGTGCAGTATAAAGTTTCTTATGAACAATAATATTCTATTTAAGATGTTGGATCTTTGTACGCTTACTAGAATATTGAGATACCATAATGGCATGAGTCAGACATTATAAACCTTTTTGTAAAGTTAATGACTCAGAAATCTCATTAGACTGTATCACCATTTCTACTTGTTTATTCACTTGGAAAGGAAAGAGAGTGGAGGTGTGGGGTTTGTTTGTTTGTTTGTTTCTCTGAACAATTCTACCATGTGGCTTTTAAGATATCTGGAAAATTAGCTTGCGTTAAAGAGTGGAGGAAAGAAGGGGTAGATTTTCTTGTAAGCTGCGAAGTAAAGCCTTGATAAATCTGATTCCTAAGCTGCGTTTGCCGGACGTGCCCAACAGGATAGTGAACTCTTCATTTGCTTACATGATAATTTGAACAGTAACAGCAACTTATCTGATCTAATTGAAGAAACTACAATAATACTAAAATCGTGTGGAAAGCTTTTACTCTTCATTTGCAAGTCTGTTTCCTATGTTCTTAGCATATTCTCATAGTTGAAGATTTGGATTATTTTATTTTGCAGATATTTTTATTTTATTTTAGCTGTGAGTTCTCAGTGCTTAAAAAAGCCTAAATGAGCTCTTAGTTTAGCCTTGAAATCCCAGATTGTTGATATCACAAGAATTTACTTTGATACATTAGTGAAAATGAATAATGTGGTAAGAGACTGATTTTACTATGAAATGTGAATGATCTCTCAGATTTCTGTGGAGTTCTGTACAGGTGTGATTTAATGGTTACATTTGTTTTAGAAATTCAGGTTTTTATTTATTATCAGCTTCCCTTCCACAAACAAGTGTGGTGGTTCCACTCGAGTGGGCAGCCGAGCTCCACCACAACCGCTCTCTCACTCCCCCTCCTCAAAGAGGAATGGGGAGAAAATATGACGAAAAGGGCTCAAAGGTTGAGATAAGGACAAGGAGATCACGCAGTAATTATTGTGATGGGCAAAACAGACTCAGCATAGGGAGACAGTAAGATTTATTGCTTATTACTAACAAGCTAGAGAAGTGAGAAACAAAGGAAAGAAGCCAAAAGCACCTTCCCCCCCATACACCCTGTTCCACCTCCTCCCCCCGAGTGGCGCAGGGGAACAGGGGAGTGGGGGTTATGGTCAGTATATAGCTGCTCCTTCTCGGTCACTCTCGTCCCCTGTGCTGTGGGGTCCCTCCCCTGGGATGCCGTCCTTGCTGAACTGATCCGGCATGGGCTTCCCACAGGCAGCAGCTCTTCCGGAACTGCTCCAGATATGGGTCCGTACCACGGGGTCCATCCCTCAGGAGAAAACTGCTCCAACCTGGCTCCCCCCGCGGGCAGCAGCTCCTGCCAGGTCACCTGCTTCTGTGTGGGCTCCTCTCCACGGGCTACAGGTCCGGCCCGGAATCTGCTCCGGCAGGGGTCTTCCACAGGTGGCAGCCTCCATTGGTGCAGGGCCACCTGCTCCACCGTGGTCTCCTCCACGGGCTGCAGCGTGAAACCCTGCTCCACCGTGGTACTCCATGGGCTGCAGGGGGACAGCCTGCTGCACCATGGTCCTCACCACAGGCCGCAGGGGACTTCTGCTCTGACACCTGGAGCACCTCTCCCCCTCCTTCTGCACTGACATTGCTCCCTGCAAGACTGTTCCTCACTCCTCTCACTCTCCCAGCTGCTGTGTGGCACAGTGGTTTTTTTCCCTGTCTTAAATATGCTCTCACACAGGCACAAAACAACATCGTTTATTGGCTCGGCTCTGGTCAACAGTGGGGCCCTTACCAAACATGGGGCAACTTCTAGATCCTTCTCACAGAAGCCACCCCTATGGCCCCCTGCTGCCAAAACCTTGCCACATAAACCCACTACAATAAGAAAGTTTGTTTTCCTATTTCAAGGTTCTGTTTACTACGTTTGTTTTTTGTTTGTTTGTTTGTTTGTTTTGTAGGACAGTGTGGGGAGGGAACATCTCATTACAATAGCTACTTAACAAGGTTTCAGCACCATTTTGTCATTGTGTCAGACACAGTTCATGTACTGAACTGAATGATTATCTTTCTTTACTATCAGGGTAATCAGGTAACCAGGCAGCCATTGGCACGAATGAATTGGTACTATATATGTGCACAAAGACATCCTCTTCTGCTATGCTTTCTGCTCTCCATCCCACTCTCAAACCAACCCTTAGTCGTGTGGATTTTCTTAAAGGATACAGATGATTTTGTATTGTTTTCTTGTTTTCAGGCTTTTCATTGAAGAGCCAAGGATAATGGTTAATATATATCTGGTTCTGTTTTATGTAACCCTAATATTACTTGCAAAACAGGTATGTATATAAAAAGCAACAGGTTAATTCTCTTACTTGCAGCAAGTTGATTTAAATACAATGCAAAAGTGTCGTTTATTGAAATTGTGCACTAAATTAATGTATATAGTTTTATCTTTTTTTTCTCTTGTACTTGTGGACTGTAGATAACACCAAAAAAATTTGCTGTGAAAGGGCAGGAACGTTTTTATTTTTTCAATAGTATGTATATTACAGAAGTCAGAACTTTTTAGAAATTCCTGCAATTTGGATCCGTTGTGATTATTTATCCTAAATGTAGTAATTCAATTCAAAACCATCACTGTATTATTACTGTGATTATTATTGTTGTTGTTGTTGTTTTATTAAAATACCGTTGTTGTACATACATCTGATGCTACCTTAATGGCATTCATTTGGAGTGACTGCTTCATATTTTTCTGATTCCGTTTTTGAGGCATGCAGTTCATAACTGTTTAAGTTCAAAATGTCTTGAAAAAATCTTACGGCTACTATGCTTTTGAAATAATTTAACTCATTATATATTTAAGTGAGATGTTATATGGATTTAAGTTATGGTATCGGATTCATTTGCAGATTGATTATTACTGTCGACTGGATTGTCTGTGGAAGAATAAGTTTAAAAAAGAACACGAACAGTTTGAAACGATGGAGAATGTTAACAGGCTTTTGCTGGAAAATGTACTTCCAGCACATGTCGCTGCATATTTCATTGGTGAAAAACGAAATGAGGTATGTTTAGTCTCTACCATATGAATGACAGTAAATTGGACCAGTGTGACACAGAACATCAGGCCAACAAGCACACAGAACACTGCAATATTTTGCATCTTATTTTTATCCCAAGAACTTTGTAAACCTAATCTGCTATCTAGACAGGCTCAGAAAGCACAAACTTCTGGTGTCAGTTTCTGAAATTTGTTTTTCAGAACTGATTGTTCAGCTTTGGGGCAGAGTGAATTTGGCAAATATTTAATGATTTACTGCATTCTAAAGACCATAATTCACTGGAGAAGATAGACCTTCTTTCTAAAGAAGTTAGTTCACCAACAGATAGTATCTCTGTGGTAACAACCCTGTGAGAAAAGTTCATTGATAAAGATTTTTCAAAGACATTTTTGATTCTGCCAGCATGTTATCAGAATAAATATTTTGCGGATTTCAAAGCTATGGTAAGTGGGAGAAAACAGGCACTGTCCAGAACAGATAAGAATCTTTGAGATATGTAGATATCTCAGCAGCTTTTCCTTAGGCACATCAACTTTGTTAATATTTCTGATAAAATTCGACACACCAACTGTAAAGATCTGTAGCTGGTTTCCAAAGAAAATTGTGATTTGATTACTGTTTGCAAACAATAATCATAGTTTTGAGTGCCTGTGGTGTAAGTCAGCTGCTGACAATATCTAACTATACTGTTTGTTTTCCTGTAGGACTGGTACCATCAATCTTATGACTGTGTCTGTGTCATGTTTGCATCAGTGCCAGATTTTAAGGTGTTCTATACTGAATGTGATGTCAATAAAGAGGGTCTGGAATGCTTGCGGCTGTTAAATGAAATCATTGCTGATTTTGATGAGGTAATTAAGCTTCTGGCTAAAATGGACTGGATTATGGTTTTGCTGCAAAATGTTTCAATAGATCTGTTAGCAGTGGAAAGAGAAAAAAAAAAGGCTTTTATGCTTAACTAATATCTTGAGTTCAGCCTTGTAATCTTCGAAATAAAATATATTCCATCTGATGGGATCATCTAATTCGTTAGTAGTATGGCTTCAAAGTTGTGAATTTCAGTAGTTGCTTCATTTCTCTTACGAGCTGTTAGAGCAAAAAGATTAAATGAACACTTTGTGCTTTCTTATCTAACATTCATGTGATTGATAGTGTTCCTACAGATGTCCAGTGTTTATTGCAGGCAGCATAGGATTTCCGGTTAAATCACACACAGAAATATTCTATTAAAGTCTCTGTCTCTGTTTTCCTTACCTTCAAACAGCTCTTGCTAAAACCTAAATTTAGTGGTGTTGAAAAAATAAAAACCATTGGAAGCACTTATATGGCAGCAGCTGGTCTCAGTGTTACACCAGGCCAAGAGAACAACCAGGTATGTGTTTTTTTTTTGTTTTTTTTTTTTTCTGAAATCTACCTTCAGTGCTGTATGTGTTTGGTGAAGCTGTGTGTATGCATGTATGTTTCAAAGTAGCAGAATGAAGTGTGATGGAAAAAAGGAAGTAAATCACCAAGATAACTTTCTGAAATGGGGATGATCACAAAACTGTTTTGTCTCATTGAATTCACAGTTTCTAAGCAAGAGTCAAGACTGCATACTTCTTACATCTTTTATCTCTGATTACAGTAGCTTAGCATTTCTAGATGCATAACAGAATAGCTCTGGAGATAAGGAAGAATGGCTGCCAGAGAAAAAGCCATCTTATAATTTGACAGGAAGCTTTAGATAGCTGAGAACTGGCACAAAAAGAGAAGCCTCAAATATCTCATTAGATCTGAATCTGAAACATTCTGTAACCCAAAAGAATTAAGACCAGTTTCTGTACTCAGGCTAGCAGGATTGTACGTGACATTAGGATGCGTGCAGGTGCTCTTCCTATATGTTATATAGCATATACATTAAATATGGAACTCTAAATATGGAATTGTAAAATACTGGGAGGGTGTCTAGAGGATGGGGCCGGAGTCTTTTCAGTGGTGCCTAGCGACAAGACAAGAGGCAATGGGCACAAACCAAAGCACAGGAAGTTCTGGCTGAATATGAGAAACCTTTACTCCTTTACTGTAAGGGTGACTAAGCACTGGAACAGGTTGCCCGAAGTGGTGGTGGAGTCTCTGTCTTTGGAGATAGTCAAAACCCACCTGGATGCCATCCTGTGCAATGCACACTGCATGACCCTGCTTGGCTGGGGGGTTGGACCAGATGATCTCCAGAGGTACCTTCCAACCTCAGCCATTCTGTGATTCTGTGCAATTCTGTGAATCCAGTAGGAGAGACATAAATTCATTATGACTAGCCATGCCAGTTGAATTTAATCCATTTTAAATTTTTGTTGAACTGTGCAATTTCATTGTGTAGCCTCATCCTTATATACTTTATTCGTTCACAGTACTGGTTTTGAATACAAACCAGTCTAATACAATCATATGTGTTGTTATTTGATCATTAACATGTTGCAAATGGTAGGATAAGGAGAGACAGCATGCACACATTGGGATTATGGTGGAATATGGAATTGCCCTGATGAGTAAACTGGATGGAATCAACCGACATTCCTTTAACAATTTCCGCTTACGTATTGGTAAGTTCAGTTTGTGAAGAACATGAACTCTGCAGCTCCTTGGAAATTAAAAATGAGGCAGGATGACTTAAATAAATGGAGTTCTGTGGAGCCCTGCTTAAAACTGAATACAGTAATTTTATTATTATTAAATGATGAATAGCAGAAGGTAGTGTTGTCTTGTCTCACTTTTTAAATATGCCAAACTTATAGAAATGTCAGGGATGGGCTTTTCTAATCACTGAAAGGAGCAATAGGAAGACAGCAGCTGGATGAATTTGGAGAAAATTACAGGTATGGGTGAAGAGGGAGATAGTCTGTAATTATTAACTGTCGGCTAAAGACAGTATTGTCATTATAGAAATACATATTTCTATATATTTAAAGTAGAAACATTTTGCTTTGGCATAAACTCTGCCCTAGCTCATTTTGGACTTCCACTATATAATGAATGAGTGACCTCCCATCTCATGAAGTTCAGTACTATTTTTATAGAACAGTGATAATACTGCCAGAAAAGTGTAGCAGGGTTAGTGCTTTTTTTTTTTATTTTTTAATTTATTTCCCTGAAGCTCACAATTTATAGCTAATAATGAAGGTAGGTAACACATAACTACATACTTTAGTAATGACACCTGCTTTTATTTATACAGGGATAAATCATGGCCCTGTGATTGCTGGTGTAATTGGTGCTCGGAAACCACAGTATGATATTTGGGGCAACACTGTTAATGTTGCTAGCAGAATGGAGAGTACGGGGGAACTTGGGAAAATCCAGGTAAACGTGAGCCTTGGAATGTCTAAGAAATTATTTCTAATTGTTTATTTATTTATTTATTTGAATAATAAGTAGAATTTCACAGGAGTTTTCTAATTCTTTTCACACAAAGGTCACAGAAGAAACAAGTAGAATACTACAGGAGCTGGGATATTCATGTGAATGTAGGGGACTCATTAATGTCAAAGGCAAGGGAGAACTGAGGACTTACTTTGTTTGCACTGAGACAGCCAAATTCCAAGGTATTGGACTGAACTGAGGCTATGACAAAGTTAATCAAAGTAGACTTAGAACTGCCTCCCTTCTGTGAAGACTTAAAATTTCCCTCCTTATGTAAAGGAGATTATTCAAAACTATATATACTTTCATACGTCTTCTACTTCAAAAGATTGGAGAATGTTGTTATGTTTGTTGTTGTTTTTTGAAAGAAGTTCTGAGAAGTTTGTAGAAGACATGGAACCACCAGTTTGAAAAAGACTACATTTTCCCGAAGTTATTTGAGAATTTACCTGGAATTTGCATGAAGCATTTTCGGTTAGTTCCTGTCCTTCCCTGCACTGTGAGTGTCTAACAGCTCCAGTAACCACCTGTATGGATGCACTGTAGAACTCTTTACCACCTTAAAACATTCCACTGCTTCATTCTTTGTCACACCTGCACACAGTATTGCATTTGTCACAGACGTACTGAGATGATACTCTGGGCACTGCATACCCTGCTTTTAATGTTAAACAAACTTCATGACAGAAGACAGCTGAATAACAGAAAGAGAAATGCAAGTAAACTCCAATATATCATATGATAATTGTGCTGAGCTCCTTTGGTTGTGGAGGGAATTAATTGCGCAGTTTGGATCCCTTCTTCATTATCTTATCTTCTACAGTAGTACAAATGTTTTTTCTGACCAGCAGCTGTTCAGAAATCTTTAAACTAGTTGAGTGTTTACATTCTAATACATATCATCCTTTGTATTTCTGTGCTTCTGTATTTAGCATCTGCATGCAGATTTTGTAGTCACATAGGAGAATGTTCTTTAAAAATTCTGGCTTGAAATTTCAAAAGAACCCAAAACAACAATAATAATCTTGAGGAGCACTGGGCACCTGCATTTTGCATTTATGCTGAATGCTTGGTTAGACGGGCTCAGATAACGGCTTGTATCACTGACATCCAGCTGGAATTCTGCATACTGACTGTATCCTTGAGGGCATTTTTGAACAGTTTGGAAACTGAAAAACAGAACTAATAAAATAGTAACTGTTACTGTTTCTAATACTGTACAAACAGAACTGCAACTGAGATGGGCTTTATTTTTTTCTTCCTTTTTTTTTTTTTTTTCTTCTATTTTTGTTTCTCCAATTTGACGAGCTACTTGCTGGTTTGAATTCCTTTGAAATGCAATGCAGCTTATGAAACAGTTTGGTTTTTAAAATTACAAAAGGAAGTGTGGAAAAATGTTCTTAAATTTTCATGCTCTTAACATTTTGATCATGTTCTTAACATTTTCATACATGAAAGTATGCTTGGTGCGTTGGTAAGATGATCATGGAAATCGGCTTGCTCTTAGTTTGTAAATTAGCATTTTTCTGCTTCTTGTAATCAATCTCTTTTCTGTTGGTGGAATGACAGTATTTTATAATAATACCTCCTGCCTAAATGTATGCATTAACTAAGGATGGATTCTCCCTTTACCCCTTCATACCACACGGAGTATGACTAAACAGCACAGTGATTAGTAAGTTGTGCATCTGCTTTGTTAATCCTTATGCTTCTACAAACAAAGCAGCACTTACTAATCTTTGGGTTTACTACTAAGCTATACTGGAAAAGTTTTTAACAAGCAGTCATATGCATTACTGCCACTTTCTAATTACTGTGTAATTTCTTTAGAAGATGAAGTGACTATGTTTCAAGACAGAAACAAATCTAGATATTGTCCAACTGTGGATTAAAACTTGTGCTTACAGCCTTTTTCAATTTGGTAGGTCAAAACTGTCTGTAGTAAGCCTCCGACAGGAAATAGCATGTTAGAAAACCTTGGTTTGAGGTTTTCTGGGTCATGTATGGACTCAGCTGAAGAAGGAAGTTTCAGACTTGGCATCTTGTCAGTATCAGATCAGTGTTGCAATTGAATAAACTTTCAAACAGCTTTTGCTACTCCTGTATGTTGTGCATTTGTAGTAACAGATGCTCAGCAAGCATTTATCTTGAGATATTTATTGTTTTACAAGGACCATGCATGTGTCAAAGGCTCCTTTCAGCAGTCGTTGATGCCATATGTTACGTAAAGTCATGATTTGCCTCTAATATATTTTGGAAAGTGCATTATGCCTATAGATAGAGCTGGCTCTGAAGTGTTTCTGTTTATAGAACTAGTAGAACGTAGGTGTAAGTTATCTATGAAAAATTGGCTGTCTGTAACAGCATTTTGAAATGCTTTTGTTTACATTATATTGCCGATCAGGCTAGTAACTTGCTTGGGCATAACTTAAACTTAACCTCATTTACTGAAGTGGTATAAAAAGCTGTAGCTTTTGAACTGGAATTAGTAGTTTGTTTGTTTTCTTGTCGTGGTTTTAAAAGGACATTGCAGTACTTACACTGCTCAATTTTAGCTTACATAATGGAGAAAGTTGGAAACCACATGTAAAGAAAAAGGGGTTATATCTGAGAATGACATTAACTTAGCAGAACTGGAAGCGTATACAAAGAAAGCTATGTTCAACCAGAGAATAAATTCACTTTACATGGCAACTGTCTTTAAGTAATTGTTTTTAGCAGTCATTTCTTGAGAACTGTGAAACTTAAGACTGAAGAAGTAATCTTGTTTGAAAATCTTTACAGCATTACTGTGGTTTTTTGAACTGTAAAAATGGCATTGTATCTAATTTGAAGAGCTAATAATGTGTTCTGAATTAGCAATCTATTTTAAAGAACAAACTTTTCTTTTTACCATTAAATAAAGAACTTCCTGGAACTTGTTTGTTTTTTTGTAATTATTTTGATGAAGTTTCCCCATAAACAGGAGGCATGATACATAAGATATATCTCTATAGAGTTGATGAGATTTGTTTTTACTTACTAAGTAAATTTGATACTCATATTTTTGAGAATTTATTTAAGTAGAAAATACATAGTGTGATATACTTGCATTCAACAGCTAAAGAAAAATTTCCATGCTCTGTTTTCTGTCATCTGGCCTTCTACTGCACTATATGAAAGATAAATTATGGGAAATAAGATGCTATGGACTGAGCCAATAATGTGCTGCATCTTGCCGTCTCTTGTACCAAGAAAATGAGTTAAATATTAATTGAAAAATTCATTCCCTGAAGTATTTCAAAGTAATTAGCTACAATTAGCCACTACTGTGGGGAAAAAAGCACAACAGTTAATATTTTATTTAAAGAAAACAAAAAACCTATTCTGCAATGATTTGATAACAGAAACTACTGGAGAAGTATTCAGGCTGACAGCTCAAACTTTTTGGAATGAGTTTTAAGAACTGAAAATTTTAAAATGGAATTAAACACCTCTGCAGCTCCTTTTTGGAGAGGAGGAGGAGGAAGAAAGGAAGTATAAAGGTGATGTTGGCCATAAGACTAGGAATGAAGAGTAGAATTCATTATTCTGTTTTGTCTTTATGTGACCTCTTCAGTTCCATGCCACTACAAATATTATAAATCATTAATTAGATTGAGATGAACTACTGCATGTCATTGCTGTTAACACTCCGAAGTAACACTGGAACCTTAAATAAATATTATGCAGTAACAAGAAGCAATATTTAAAAATAGGTAATGATGTCTGTGGTAGAACGGTATAGCACCAGACAAGTGTATGAAAGTAATTGACTACACCATAGGAAGAATTCTTGTTCAGGACTCTGGCTCTGCGTAATACTGCCACCATGCTTCAATTCCTCTCTGCCTGAATGCAGACAAAACAGACTAACACTATAAGCAATTTTTGTGACAAGGGAATCATGTTTTTAATTGATGTTTAGTTTTCTAAATATGCCCTTCTTTCTGAGAACAAGCTTAAAATAATTACTCAGATGGTGTTTAGTAATACCTTCAAGTTTTCTACATGCACATCTCAACCTGAGTTAATACTGCTACATTAATGTGGATTTTTTTACTTTGGCAGCTAATGAGTTTGTTAAGTCTCACCTTATTGTTGTCATGATGTATATCAAAGCTTTCAACTTTTAGAATACTGTGAATGGATGTTGCTACTCATTTATGAGGAAATTAATCTATGCTGAAAGTCTTACAAAGGTGATCTTTTGTTAATTTATCAGGTTACATCAGTTTCATTCAGTGCTGTTTTTTTTCCTGTTCCTCATGATCATAAGAGTTGCATGGTTATTTTAAAAAGGGAAACCTGTGTGTTCAGATACTAATAGTTTTTGCCCCAACCAAGTTTAACTACAGCTAAAGCAGTGTTTTTGGAAACTTGTGGATGAGTCCTTTTACCATACATAGCCCCATTTTCACTTATTCTTTGACTTTTCCAGCTATATAATAATGGAAGGAAAACTTAAATGCTGAAGTCTTTTAAAATAATAAATGACAAAAGAATAATCAAATGCATTTAAGTAGCAGAAGAAACTCAAACAACTCAAATTTCAGTTCCAAAATTTAATAAACAAAAGTAGTTTCTTTAACACACAATATACACATGCTCTGTGAATGCACCTGAAGAATGTTTATCTGGTTCTTAAAAAGAATCAAACAAACACCTGTAAACTTAACTGAAGCTTCAGACTTTAACTGGCCCACATTCATTTTCAGTGATGGTGACAGTCTTTTTAGGTTCTTGAAACTCTGGAAGGGTACAACAGACCAGGTCAATAAGTATATTTAGAACTTGTCAATGAAATAAGTGCATATACAATATAATACTTCTGAAGTAATTTGTTATTTGTACAGACAGTCCTGAGTTAACTGTGTGCTCTGTAACAGCTCAAGAATTTGTTTGTTACATAGTCTGGCTTGTAGTACACTATGAAAAAGAAATTGCTCAATAATTGTCAAATTGAGATTTCTTAGTCTCCTTGAAGTTACTGAAGCAGTCCTGTTCTTCTCATTAAATCACATGAGACCTGAAACCTCTTATAAGCCACATATTGTGCAAATTTGTTGTGTGTATTGCCTTTCTTGAAACTAAACTCTTGCCTGTCTTGCAAATTGAGGAGACAAATTCTAGGAATGCTTTCACAGTTTACATGACTTAATAAGCCGCTGCCACAAGGGGGAGATCTGGTTCTGGCACTTAAGTTTTTCACTGAACAAACTCCTCAGTCCAGCAAAAACAGTAGTTACTTCGTGCTGGATAAATGAGTTGATGCTGTCAACTAAAAAGCACTATGGCTGGCCAAATTAAGCAAAAGGAGCGCACAGCCAAAAGCTTGGGGAAGAAGGAAGCACACTGTCCTCATTTAAGCAAGTGAGGAATTTTAACTCTTTTCTTGTAACTTCACTCTAAATGGAAAAACTAGAATTTAATGGTTTGCCAAGCTTTACAATTTGGCAGTGCTATAAGATGAATGATAAAATAACCACTTTGAGTAGCTGAAACAAAGTTCCATATATTCCAAAGATTAATTTTGAACTGAGACCAAGCACAACAACTTTCCATTAAAGACAGAATTTTAAAAAGTAGAGAATAACTGAAAGCTGGAACTAAGTTACTGCCAAGTTCTACCACAAGCCATTCTAATGGTTTGCAGATGTGGCTTTGTTTTAGTTGAACAGATGCTACAAAACAGTTCTGTATACTCACCATCTGTTAAATCTATCCCGCTGTCTTCTGTATCAGGTAAAGGAATCGAAATTCCCATTGCTTTCCGGATTCCATATGTGCTAACAATGTCACCTGGAGTCACTTGTTGTGCCAGTTCTTTCAGATTATTGGTTACTCTCTCCGCTACATAAAAAATAGTAGTAGATGTACTCATAGGCTACATGTACAAGCATGCATATAAAATCACTGACAGAGAACTGGAGCAACATTGGTCATATTTCTGCAATAATGGGGATTTTATCTTTTGTCAGTGAGCTAGCTATTTTAGGCCACATACACTGTAGTGGATATTGCACAATTTATTTTACTCCTAGAACAGACACCCTCTTCACACAGTCCTGTCAGAGAAGGCTGCTGGAACTGAGCTGTGGAACAAGGGGCTTTGCTCGAATAATTGAAGAGTAAGTGATTGCTGTTAATTGGTTATAATAAAATAAACTAGACTAGAAGAAAACTATCCTTACAGTAAAAAATTGGTAACGTTTAAATTACTCCTGTTCAAAGACACTGGAAAGATCATGAAGTTAGAGGTGCTTGGCTATCTGCCCTGGGGCATTGAGAAAATTCTCAATTTTAGGGACTTTCACTTAGTAAAGAAAAAAATATTTGTCATTACTGTTTAAAACTTGCATCTGTCTTTCCGTACAACAAATGAATCTACTATACACAACAGGGCAGAGAATCCCCCACTGTTCAAGTTTTGCCTTGATAAAACAGTGAGACTTGATCAATTCCCCAAAAATGAGCAGAAAAAGTATATTTACCCAAGTGCATCTCTCTGTAAGATGGACCCAGAAGACAAATCATGTTCGGGGGTGGTTTTGTACTTAGTCGTTCATTTTGCGCATCCTGAAGTTCTCTCAGAAGCTTTGTTGTTTCATCAAGTTTCCTCTGGAAAATTTCAGCCTCTGTTTAATGAAGAAAAGTCCTGTTAGTAAGAGAGTGTGTTTACTTCCATTATGATGTAAAATACGTAAGATTGAATATGCAAGGAGATTAAGAACATTAATTACCTTTCATTAAAGGTAACAGACCCATCAGAATTATTAGTACCAAGATAACTTACCCTCAGAATCAAACTCTTCTACAGGCATGCCGAAGTTTGTAACAGCTTTTAGTGCTGTGAGTCTGTCATTATTAGCAGAGTCCAACCTTGTTGCAATGTCAATTTCCATAATCTAAAAAAGCAGCAAGAAGTAATTTATATAATATTTAGATCAGTCTGAAACAACAAAGTTGTTCTGGGGAAATCAGAATATCAAATTAGTTAAAATTAATCAGCTCTACAAAAAAGAAGTCAGGAAAGAAGTAAAGATACCCTATGAAACTTTTACTGATCTCTAGTTGCTCAGCTATTTCATACTCAAACATTGGTATCTCACCTAGAACAGAACTTATGTACAATCTGAGACCAAAAGTCAGAAACAACCCAGGAACTGGCAGCAGGTTAAAGCTTCAGGAGAGCAGCCTTTCAGTAGAACTACTACTATACTTTCTTTAACTGAACAAAGTTTGTCAGATGAAATGATTTTAGTGATATTTTGTATACCTACAGGGACACAAGCTAGTTGAGAATATGACTCAAAGATTGCTAAGTCTTGTGGGGTATGGTATTTCATACTTATTACAAGTTCATGTTAAAAGTAATTAGAATAACTACAGCTGTCAGCCAGAAGTGCCAGTGGATTGTATAATAATTGCAGACAAAAGCCTATAAGCATTTTCTTGCACTTCTATTGACAAATAGTCTAAATTAAGAATTAACTTTTTGAAGATTTTGGAGATTCTCCAAATGCCTACAAAATAGCATGCAGTTGTCACGATTTACATTGTGTATATTTACAATCAAATTTTTGATGTTGCTTCATAGGCTTTGCAATTGTTGGCAGTTTTATAACTGACAAGCTACACGTGTTGCTTGCAGTAGCTAAACGAAGAATCTTACCTTTACTTCTTTTATTGCATCACTTCTTTCATGTGTGCCTTCAGTTTCCTCCAGGGGCTGAATACACAAAGAATTCTTTAAAGCAGGCATTAAAGCTTACTTATCTTTTCCTTAAGGTCAAAGTAACACCTTACAATATGGTATTTTAAGCTGAGGTAACTGATGCAAGCTTTCTTTGTAAAACCAAGTTACAAAGCAACTATTTTTAGAAAGCATTTTCAGATACCAATGTTTGCTAAAAATACATTTTTATGGCATGCATTTTATTACTCTCTGCAAACATCCATGTGTTCTTCCCCAGTGACATCACCTCAAAGATTATCTACTGGGGAGGAGGGAGAAAAGGAAGCATGATGATTAGAGGCTGAAATATACTGCTTCAATACATAACTATTTCTTAATATTTTGCACCAGTAGCAACTGAACCCTGTAAGTCAGTGTCACTATTGGGTAGTAGAAAAGAGTAATGCTAAGCAGAGGTCTGAACTGGAGGCCAGGGGCTGATCTTTGCTCTATGAACTATTTCCAGTATTAGTTTAGCTGATATACGAACCATTACTAAGAAGCTATGATCTGTATTTCAAGTTTCCATTCATGTGAAAGTAGGTCAAATGAACACTTTTAGTTAGCAGCAACTGCCCTCTGGAGATACTAAACTAATTCAAGGATTGTGAATGAAGTTTTAGTCTCATGCTGTTCACCTCATCAGCTCCTCTGATTCCAGTCATGTTTGGCATACATGTATATGGGTACTGAAGTCTCAGGAGCATCTGAGGACTACCTGTTTAGTGGTTTTCCATAGTGTGGTGCTTTTAAACTCAAATATGTGTTAACTAATGAAAAAAACTAGGTACTAATTCTGACACAAACGGTGGCTGTTAGGGGCATGCTAAACTTTTCATGGAAACTAATAAACAAAAAACTGGGTTTGCCTTGTCTCTAAACCCCATATTGCTCTTTTCTTTCTAAGTGCTAGTGGTAGAATAGACAGAAAAAGGCCATGGGACTCTGCGTAACCTATGATATTTTGTAATTTTTCACAGTTCATTAATTAACAAACCAGCATAATTTCTTCCCAGAAGACCCATCCACTGGAGACAAAGGTATCTCCACTTCCAAATTTTACTGCTTAATAGGGGGCCCGTCAATAGGATCAGTATCATCTTTCTCTAGCTTTATGGCTTATGTGCAAAAATAAAGACTAGAAAGTCCACAAACTCACTCTTACCGCTTCAAGTTCTCTGAGAGATCTAGAGTGTCCTCCTTTAGTTAGAACATCAAGCAAACTATCAGCCATTAGGAAAGGATAGTCTTGTGATTTCATCAAAAATTCATGAATACTAGAAGGTTAAAAGATAGTTAAGGTAACCACTTCTGTATCTAACATTCAACAGTAAAAAGTTTTGTTAAGTAAAGGCAGACTAATATCTACAGAATGGAAAACACAAAAAACAGCATAGAATTTAATCTAAATAGCTTGCTTTTGTTTAAAATCTATGGCTTTTGCAGCCTAGGAACCCATTCAGATTACTTATAAAACCTGAAAAAGGATGAAAAGTATACTGCTTTAGGCAGCTGCATGAAACTGACAGCAAACTTGCACAGCCACTTAACATTTGCGCTGTACTTAAGTATTCCTATATTTCATATGAATTTATATTACTGTCTTCTATTCCTGAGTTCTCATAAAACAAAAGGATTTACATTCTGACATTTTTACAAGCAGGAATAATAGAAGCAATGGGAATTAATTATTTTTGCTGTAGCAAATAGTAGGAAAATCAAGTAGTATACATGTTATTTAAGAATGAAATTAGGAATCACCTAATTTGGACTCAGATCTCCCACTGTAACCATAGTAATGTGGTCACTATTTGTCATTAACAAAGCTGACTTTAACAAAGATGACTTTTTCTCAAGGCAGTAATAAAATTCATTAACATTAAAAAATTCAGTTTGTCTGAACATTTTTTCCTCAATAATTTTCCTGGTTTTCAACATGAGTCCTTCAGAATTAGTTACGAATTAATAATAATTAAGTGCTAGGCTCTATGTTCTTATGTATTGGTACCATAAAAATCCTTCAGCCCTGGCTAATTTTACATCACATACAAATTCTCTTACTAAATTTTTGCTTCTTAAAACTAACAAAAAAACAGTAGGCCGTGAGACAGTAGCAACGTCATTCCAGCAGCAAAGATGCAGTCCATGCAGAGATCTGCACAAAACTGCTTCTGTAGATGAAAACTGTAATACACATCCTAGCTGTTTGATTACCTGAAAGATCCTTGATTAGAGTCTTCCCCATACGTTGAATAGATTAAGTCAGAATCTTCTTTGCTGATGTTGGCAAATGTAGAATCATATGTCGGAGCATAGGAACTATAAGGTCCATAATTCAAGTATGTCACTAATGAATAACAACAGCACTAATTATCACCTCTGGTATGCACATACCAGATAAAAGTGAGAAGCAGTTGTAAAACAATCTCCCCCAAAGAAATTTCTAGAACACAGTTCTTAAGAAAAAAACATGTTTAGCAAAAACCTTTGTACCTCACTGGCATAGTTCCTCTTCTCAATATAGATGAAGATTTTATTGAATGTGAATGCCTCCCATTTTGTACGTGTAAATTTGTGATGTGCTGTTTAGTTGTGTGATAAATATATGCAAAGATGTGCTTTATCATTAAAAAGTTCAAAACTGTACGAGTAATGAGACCAACATATTTTGTTTATACAAAAAGAATTAAAATAATAACAAATATAATAAAAAATTCAGCACTTGCCGGGAGTAACCTTGTTTCTTTTATCTTCTTTGAACCCTTGTAATGTATTAACTCCTGACTGAAGTCTCCCTGCTGTCATACCCAGCTTTACAGGGCAGTAACCCGGTTCTGTAGGATATAATCAAAATACAAAAGTAACAATGGCATAGTTCATTGACATAGGATACAACTCTAAGCGTGTTTTTGTCCAACTGTTTCATATTAAAGACTATGTGTAGTCATGAACATGAAGTCAGATGTAAGTAAGCGATAATACCAGTTTAAGCGATAACACTAGGTAAGGATAGAAGATTTTAACTTAGATGTTTTCACTACTAATTTTCTTCCTTCCCTAACAAAGGCTATATTGTTAAAGAGGATCTGATTGTAAATTTATTTATTCTTGCCGAGATTTCCTACTGCACAAATTAGGGGAATGGAGAAGTCAAACTTTCAGCATGGTTTCACTCTATTTGAGACCTTGTCAGTTCAACTCTGCAGTGAGTTGGCAGTTAAAAAATCAAGCACCTGCACCCTTCCAGCTAGTGGTACTACACAGATGGTACTGATGTTACAAATGATTGAGGTCCCAGGTGGTTCCCAGTTCTTGAAAGGTTTTTGACCCTTCAGGTCACAGACTTCACTCTACAAATGATCCTGACTTAAGGGTAGTCCAGAAATTAAATGTGCCCTAGCATATGACTGGTAGTCCCATCTCTATGACAAAAGAAGTCTCTTGCACCTCCCACAAATAGGTGATGCAAAATGGAGAAGCAATAGCCACTGAGGGCTCTCTCCAGTTCCTCTTAACAGTGAACAGCTGCAACTTCTTAAAGTTGAAATTATCAGGCTATTAAGGACCATTTGATTGCTGGGCACCATTCACCCATCTACCCCAGCAAAAAAAAAGCTACAGAACAGGTAGGTAGAAGCTATTTGTTACCAGAACTATGCCAACTTACCTCCTGCACTAAGGTCAACTGGATTAAGAAGGCCCAGAGTTGTTGTACCATCTGGCTTTCTTCTTTCAAATTCACACTGAAATAAGATTTTATTTTATATGCTAGCTGAAATTCACAGCTCTTAGATTTATAAAAACCTCTAATGAAACACTCTCAACTGTATGAATTAGAAAGCAATTTGGAAAGATCAGTCAGATTCAAAGTGAATACTCCTACTGTTTTTGCTCTCGCTAGATAACTGTTACTGATCTCGGAATTACCAAGTTACAAGAAATAGTAACATTTCTGTAAAGACTAAGAAAATAAGTAACTCACACTTGATAGAAAAGTAGGTCAATTTTACCAAACTGGGTTCCTCCTCCTATGTATTTAACGGTCTTTGCTCAGATATCTGACTGCTTCAGAATTCAGAGCTACGAGGGAATTTTATTTTATTTTTTCAGGTCAGATTTGAGATATTTTTTGAAGTTCTTAGTATTCAACCTTCTCTGTTACTTTATTTAAAAATTCAAGAAACTTAAGCTGAACTTGCTCTGCTGATGAAATCCAGCATGTGTTCAATGGGTATCCTTCCTTCTCCCCACCCCCTTCTTATCTTGGATATGATTACTCATGTAAAATGATGTAAACTGTAGTAAAAGCACCCCTTGAGTTTCAACTGACATAAGATGCTAAGTGAGCCTGGTCCATGAAAAAGTGAATGGAGTCTTCATACTCCAAACTATACCAAACACCCCAAGACTTACCTGGCTGTTTGCAAGTCGTCTTGTTAGCTTTCCTCCAGATTCTCTAACAATGCGATCAATCTGCTCTTGTTCCCTTTCCAAGCTATTGTTTCTTAATTTGTCTTCAAGTAGATCTTTGTCTTTTCTGTGAATAAAATTGCCGTGTCTTAATTACTAGTTTTAACAGACGCCAACTGGCTATTAGGAAAGGATACAGTGGAATATATTTTTTTTCTGTCAACTATGCAAACTGTTTTAATATAGCAGGAAAAAATGTGACAGACACTACTTATACCCACAAATGCTTTTTAAATTAGTGACTGTAAAGGCCTTTGTTTAATTTACTTTAGCCATACAGATGTCCTAGCTTGTCAGATTTTACATCATTACTCCCCCAAAACAAACAAGAATATTTTGGGTAAAATTAATTCATATACTCTGGATTTTAGTATCTATTTTTGAATCTGTGAAAATGAATTCACTAGTATTTCGGAACATTAAAAGAAGTATTCCTACATATTAAAAGATAATTTAGAAAGTGTAAATGCATAGCTACAGAACATACAAGTTTCAAATACAAGTGTTATGCACAAAATAATTGGTACATGCAAATGGCTAAATAGTTATTTTGTACTGGGATATTTAAAATTTTTCTTCAAAACAGTGCTATCTATGTGAAAGAGACACTAAAATAAAAAACGACTGAAGGAATGCAGTTGATGACCAGTACAGGGTTACCTCCACAAAAAATGATGGTACTATATAAAAGATTCTACATATATTTTTGGCATACAATAATGCTTTATATAAATTTTGCTCCCTTGAGATGAAGGGCTCTTAGTGTATATCCTGTACCAGAGAAACCCACATCTACTAGTCCCTAATAGTTGTCATCTTTCAGTGCCTTTAAAGAGCCATATCCTCTAATCAGTAATGAAACAATACTTCACTTTTTGTGGTCTTTGTTGGGTGTTTTGAATGCTTTGGTATCACCATCCACAGATTCTCCTTTGTCTTTCCCAGAACCATTTTCATCTTCTCCAGTTAGTTGCTGTTCCATCTTATCTTTCTGTTTCCTTGTCTTCTGCAGATCAGCCATGAATTCTATACTTTGTTTCAGGCTCTGAATCCTCTCCTAAAACACACAGCTGAATCTTAAAGTATCCTACTTCAATCAATCTTTTCTTAACTTGCCTGCAGAGAATTATTTAATTTTTATCCTTTCTTTCACTAGCAAGTATAAAGACAATTTAGAAAAATCAAATATAAAATGCAAATAAGTAATCTGCTAGCTGTATTAAAAGCTCATGCTTTAGTACTATGAAATCCTAATATTTGACAAATATTAAGCAAGCTTTCATTCATTTTCATGAGATCCCTATAAGAAAAGCAGAATGAAAGAAGAGTCAAAAAGTAACAAGGCTATCTTGTAACAGTTTGTTTAGTAATTTTCTATTACCTGGCTAAGTATCTTCATCCCTGAGTGCAGCAGTTTTTTTGCAGCTTTGTAGTAAATGGTGTCTGGTTTGTTGTACGTCATTGCATTAGTACACATCAGTTTGAAGTTTTCCTATGCAAACATTAATAATTTTGCAATTACAGTTAAAATTTTACAGCATACTGTATTAAAATCCTTGTTGCAAATGATGTATCTAGAGCTTTAGTGAAAAAGAACTTCAAAGAACCTTTTAAATGAATTTAAATGTACTTAATTAAAAAATTAAACAGAAATAAGTAAATGAAACTCCTCTCAAAACTAAACTCCCAATAACATCCTGAAAACATTCCTAAATGTTAATCATTGTTTCTAATTTTTAAAGTTTTGATGCAAAACCTCTTTCTCCCAAAAAAGTCAAGAAGAAACATTTCTTCACGCTGAAGTATTGGTTCTTGTTGGTAACTTCATATTCTTATAAAATTCTAGAGCTGAAGTAAACTGACCATAATCCATCTCTAGTCAAAATAAAATTTACAGAATTACCTTTAATTCTTCTATGGACTGGTACCCATTGTTCTTGATCTTCTCTTTCATTGTACTGAAATCCATCGGATTTTTAATGATCATGGAATAGCCAGGAGCAATAAAGTCAGTCACAGGAAATGAAAAGAAAGAACTTGGATCCTTTCTGTTAAGATATGAAAAGACATTTTTATGTTTTGACTTTATAATAAAGAACATATTGAGCTTGGAACTAAATAGAAAGGAACAGACTAGGCTGAAAAGGAATCAAAAACATAAAGCCAGAAATGGCTTGTGTCAGCACAGTCTTTCACTCTTGAAGGCTGGAAAGATTCCACAACAAAACCCATATACCAGAAAAGTGCTACAAACATATTTCAGGAGTTAGTTCTACAGTCTGATAACTATCTGTATTCCTCAAAAGAATGTTTTTTATTTTTAAATCTTTTGAAGTTTTGGTCTTTCCAGAAGTGGTTTATACTTAGGTTGATGAAAAATAAAGGGAACAAATGTGATAAGAATGTGTACCTGTCATTCATTAATTTTCTTACCCTGAAATTAACAGAAGGGAAAGCTTGTTGCTAAAATCTGTGATAGAACATATGCGTTTATAATTCTGTTCATTTTCAGTTCACAAAATTTTAACATTCTTTTTTACATTAAAATGTCTCCAAGGCTTTCTGTGATCTCTGATGTACACTGATGTTCATGGGTGCTTCTAAAAGCATTAACATCACATTTAGTTGCTTGGTATTTTCTCTGTGGGGTCAGGCTAGGCTGATTAGCTGTTGAGAATCTTTTCTAGAACAAATTTTTTTTGTGTGTGTTTTTTTGTTTTTTTTTTCAAGGGTTTTCTAAAATTACTTAAAACTGACATGATTACACGAAGCCTAAACTGAGCAGAAACTGTAAGTATCTATTCTTAAACTAGTTCTTCGATTCCTAAAATAGTCATGTCAGCATAATATTTAGTGATATTTTCAGTCAGCTTTTTATAAGTTTCTTCTCTTAATGTATGTTATATTCATTTCATAGCTCTGAAAGCCTGTAGCATGGATATTTACCTCTGCAGCTGTCTCATGAGTTGATTCAGAGCTTCCTGAAGTGGTGTCTGTTCCACCTCTAGACCAAAAAGAAGCGGGGGGGAGAAAGGATGTGAAACAGAACTGACAGCAAGTGGTACTAAACTTACAACTGATCCAATTTGAGAATTCCTGATAAACAACAACAACAACAAAAACAAAATATGGTTGCAAAAACAACAGGATATGTAGGGGATCTCCTTTTCTCATTGACCTTAATACCCTGCACACACTGACACAGACACTAGATACCCTTTTGTAAAAGAAGTACAAGGTGACATAGATTCATATATATGTATTTCTAAGGGATGGGAAAAAATGTCAACACAGTTGCTACAGAAACAAACAAAACATAAGTCAATTGCAGAAAACTGGAATTAACCAAGGGTAAACAAAATGTATTTTTTTCCTACCTTCCTGTTTTGATAAAGTACTTGTCAATGATTTCTCTGGTGGCAATTCCAACCTGATAGGGGTCTGACATTTCAGATCCTGCTCTCCATCGCTGTCTGGGTGGTCTCGATCACGTTTCTTTTTATCATCCTAGAAAGAGAAAGATTGTTAGAGAAACTCAGGGGACCTCCAAACCAGTATTATTACTGCATGTAATGCTCTCCAGATTTTTCAAAACAACCCAGCATTTTTATTAAAAAAAATAAAAATAATTAAATAATTGTAAGGCCCTGTATTCTTTATGTACTGTCTCCATCTACTGGACAGTACTTTCATTCAGCAATATAACAATTGTTATTGTTATTTTTTTTAAACATGACAGCCTTTTATAGCATGACAGGAACAATTCTGCACAGAGAATTATCTCCATTGTAGCCTCTAGGATTATTTTGAAGCTTCTGGAAAAACTAGTAGGAAAGAGACAGGAAGTTTAAAATGAAGGGTACCCCTAACACTTCAAATAAGTATGTTATAATTGCCTATCAGCTAAAGAACCCCCAAAGGGAAACACAATTCCTTCTTTTTAATTAAGAACTAGTAAGGCTTCATTTTAGATAAATTAATTTATTTAGATGTGAGAATTGTTTCTGGTTTTAGTTTTCTTTGTTTATATTGGCCACTATTTTAGACGGCTTTACTCATCTTTTTCTGAAAGGACCTGGAGGAAAAGGCGTTGGCAGAACCAGCATACACACTATGAATGCACTCCAGTTTAAGGATACAACTAGTTATATCTGCT